TTTTTTTTAAACTAGGTGCTGTATTGTACCGAGAGTCCAAAACAATTAACGACAGAGCCAACTTTAAAGAGATGGTGGAATAAGAGCGTGCAACTGGTGCTTCAGACTTTCATTGGAACTAGGGTCTAGTTGTGTATCCTAATGCTGATCGAAGACGTCTTTTGTAAATTAGTTTCTATAAAACAGTCAAAGTAGACTTTGGCCAGTTAGGGATTCTTGTTGATAGGACTCGCACGTCCGGATCAAAATTAAAATCTCGAAATTAAGAATGTGTCATAAATGTCAGAGAAACAGCAATCCATCAACATTCGTATGTTTGTATTCTCGGAACTATGACATACCACTGATATATAAAAGTATATGTAAGTTGTTGATATTACGCTTTATTGCATATTTCCTTCAATGGGTGAAAGTTCTTACGTAGATGAATACCAGACTCAGCGCTCTTCGTCCATAGTTAAAACACGAAATAAACAAAATTAGAATGTAAAATAATGACAAAACTTAAATTGTCATTTTAAAACAAACTCGATCTAACTCTAGAACAACAAACTAGAATGTTAAGGAATAATATGCGATAATTTAATTATCATATTTTTGTCTTCTTCAATCAATCAACCATTAAAGAGACATATATATCATCTATTAAATGGAGAGTATAAACTTTAAAATATTATCAGTGTATTGATAATGTATGTCTTGTCCATTGCTATTTTTAATAATAAATCTAGTATAAAGTAAAAGCAAACGACCTTACAATGCTTTAGTATTGGTATAAAAATTATCAATTAAGTTCATCGCAACCCAAACTATATGAATTATACTAGTAAACATAATTTTACAAATACATTAGAAACATGTATTAAAATACTGACAAACATGTGAAACTATCTACATGTCTTAAATGCTGGCAATATTATATGTAGCGAAAGGATTAATTACAAAATAATGTATTCCAAACCAATAACTATGACGAAATAAGTAAGTAGCATGAGTTTCATGACGAAGCATAAAACAATACCCACTACATAATAACGCATTTGCAAAAGCAAATACACTGATGTCATAAGTCCAAGCTTTCACGACCTCTTACTATGAAGTAGCACGAGTTTCATGACGAAGCATAAAACAATACCCACTACATAATAGAATATTTTCAAAAGTAAATACACAAAGGTCATAAGTCCAAGCTACTACGACCTCTTAAAAAAAGTAGCACCAGTTTCAAGACGAAGCTTAAAACAGTACCCACTACATAATAACATATTTACGAAAGCAAATACACAGAGGTCATAAGTCCAAGCTACCACGACCTCTTACTATGTAGTAGCACGAGTTTCATGACGAAGCATAACACAATACCAACTACATAATAGAATATTTGCAAAAGTAAATACACAAAGGCCATAAGTCCAAGCTACCACGACATCTGCAAAAACAGATAAACAGAGGACATAAGTACAAGCAACCACATCTTCTGCAACAATTAAAATATCGTCTACATTACCATACAGACAAAGACAGGCAAATTAGTTTGTAATAAATAATCATTGGGTTGCGATAGAGGTAAGAGACATATCTTTCTTTATACCTCTGCACCAATTGAAATATCGTCCACCAAAACAAGTAAGGCAAATTGGTTTGTATTTGTATGTAAATGAACCATGTCTCATACAGACACATAAGGCGGATCTTAATACGTTCTGCAAACATTAGGGTGCCTTTTGCATTTAAATGTACAACGTCATATGCTATTAAGGATTCAGTAATTTGTAAAAATACACAATCGGGTTTATCATCAGCTATCATTTTCCATAAGTATGGTATATAAGTACATTTTGATCGCAAACGCACAGTGTCACCACCAACACCAAAATTGATTTTACCCAATATCTCTTAATTTGACTAACTGCTACAACTACGTGTTTTGCATAAAACAAAATCGTGTAATCTATCCGAAAGGAAAAATGATTAAAAATTAAAAGTACGTTTGTTCAGAATGTAAGCATAAAATAGCTAAAACATAAAAGTATAGTTCGATTTTACCTCAAATTGCAAAAAGGAAATCACTCCAGTCCAAAATTATCCATAAAATTTTAATTTTTCACAAATAATTTTCACAACTTGTTTGATAAGAATTACAAGTCAAAGGCTGGCGATAAAAGGAAGTAACCACAACGCACTTACACGTGAACTCGTGCTGACCCAGCAAGATGATTGACCAATAAGAAAGATGTAATCCAATCATGCACTTGTCATAAGTGAAATTTCTCTGCACGTGAAAACATGTTATATAATTTCAACAATTTATCGTTTAATGAAGTAGGACAACTCTGACCCTTTGACCAGACTAGAGACATCATAAATTTACAGTATTAATAACTCACTCTTTATTTAAGTCTTAGTAATACAGAATTATCTTTTCTGCTGTCCTAAATGATTTTATTCAGCATTATTTTCAATTAGCAAATAAAATTGGTTATATGCATTTAATAAAAACTAAGGATAAACAGTAATCAATCATTTGTATTGTTTGTCCCCCACGAGACGCATTGCGGGTGACATAGAAATACCGGGTGTCCGTCCGTCCGTCCGTCCATCTGACCGTCCGGTCGTGTTAGCGCTCTTACGATCAATTATTTTTAAAAGAGTTCTGCTCCTCTGAAATATTATTTATATGGCAAATTGCATTATAAGCGCTCTCATGTGTATAATTCATGCCAGATTTTTTATGAAACCTACATCAAAGGTTTATATAAGCAATGTCTCGGACAAACAGTGCCGATAAAAAAATATGAAAAGAGTTATGTCTCTTGGAAATATTGATTATATTGGAAATTGCATTGTTATTTGCTATCAAGCCTTTGTCCTTGGTTTAAAAATATGTGCAATGCGGGAAACATTGGAATTTTGTTTTACTACTATTTATATTTTGACTTACCACTGAAGCCTTTGACCGTCCGTGATAAATGTTTGTTTTCCCTTATTACCTCGAGTAAAGGAATTTAAATTTTAGTATTATCAATGATATTGTTGTTCAGATGACTAATAAGACTAGTTTTTTATTGAGAAATTGTTATTTCTATAAACTGGATGTGCACAAATGCTCAATTAGCTAATATAAATGGTGTATAATTGGTAATTAATCTCCTTAATATATTCTGTTAAAATCAGCCAAACTCTTGAAAGATGAACTACCTGAGAGTTATTACCTTAATTTATGTACACTAATTAATGGAGGCATTCCAATAAAAAGTTGTAACCATTTTTTACCGCTGTCCGTGTGTATGGTTCAAATTTTGAGACTTTTACCATGTAGCTCACAAAGAGAAGCACTGCTCAGGATAAATGTTTTTTCTTCTTCTTCATATTCTAACAGTCTTATAAGATTTGTGAAGATTTGTTGATGCAGGTTGAGGCGACAACACTAAGCAAACTGTGGTATTTCCATTTTTTATGAGTTTTAGTCGTTTAAAGTGATATTCCGCGGACAACGCAACATAGCTCAGATATATATTGGTTAAATATTGATGTGTTCTCTCTTTTTACAAGTCTCCAATACAACAAAAATGAAACAAAAACGACAAAATTTATGTCTTTATGATTTTCAAAATTGGTGAAAATCATCAATATGATATATTTTCAATAGTCGTTATTCATTAACTTTTTTTTCTAATATCTCTTTTTTAACCATTTAAGACATAGTTAAAATGCCTAAATATTGTGATTTATCAATAAACTGAAAGTTCATTATCATATTTAAGCAGGCGATATTCAATGAAATTGACGTTCACCTTTACCTTTAAGTTGGAAACTTTCCTTTGAGGTCACATGTGGAATCATATTTAGTCTTTTTTCGATCAGCATACATCAGAACACGAACTAACACATACCTAGATAGAAAAAAGTAAAATCACAAAAATACTGAACTCCGAGGAAAATTCTAAAAGGAAAGTCCCTAATCAAATGTCAAAATCAAAAGCTCAAACACATCAAACGAATGGATAACAACTGTCATATTCCTGACTTGGTACAGGCATTTTCTTATGTATAAAAGGGTGGATTAAACCTGATTTTAAAACTAGCTAAACCTCTCACTTGTATGACAGTCGCATCAAATTCCATTTCCAAGAAAACACTTTAAGATGACTATTTATTTAAAGTGTATTTTTATTGTACACATATTATAAAGTGGAGAATACTATGTTAGAAAGAACAAATTTGTATACCATTGGTTGTTCCGGATATATATTTGTATCCTTTTAGTCGATTCAGTTTTTAAATATTTTTTCTGCATTCAGTCTTATCGGATATATATTTCAATGCCTTCATTCGTTCCAGATACATATTTGTATGCCCTCAGTCGTTCTGGATATAATTTGCTTCGTCGTCAGTGGTTTCGGATATATTTGTGTTTGCCTTCATTTGTTCCGATTATGTATATTGTATGCCTTCAGTCTTTCCAATTATATAGACGTATGATTGCAGTAATATTTGTTTGCATTCCGACATTCCAGATATATATATATATATATGCATTATGCATGGCTTCGGTTGCTGGAGATGTTATAGGTTGACAAGGTATATTATGTGATATTACCAGCCTGGAATCCCACATAAAATACCCTCTCTGAAAACTAAATTAACCTTATTTTACAATCTCCTTGCCTTAATGTATTTTCCATTACCAGGTATTTGTTGAACAAACACCATCCAGTATAAATATTCAGTACATGTTTCTGTATATTTTGTAAACTTCACCTAAATGCATTTTTTTTCATCTTGATAAATAGATTTTTCTAATGTTTGAACAAAACGTGCGATAAAGTATTAACCTTTTAAATGCATTGTTTGTATGTCAGTGATTTATTTTATGTTTTTGACCACCAGAAGTATTAATAAACCCAATCTTATATTTTTCCACATATGTGAAACATTTTGTACTTTGCATGGAGAATTATTTTCTCGTTTATGCATACTTTATAATAATACTTTCAGCTATGAATTTGGTATTTAGTGTGTTAATAGCGTGATTTTAAATCAAAGACGTAACATTGAAGCATACTTATCATTTTACCTTTTGTGAGCCTTTGACATCATTTTACTGTCATGTAGATTAAGACTACGTCATATAGTAACGTTCGTTATGATTGACGTTATTGAGGTTCCAATAGGGGTTAAATACGTCTTATAACCCGGGCCATTTCTGGAATATATACTGATATCTCTCTGTATTTTAATCCAATCACAAAACTCACCACATTTATAATCCGTAATACATATTTGTATTGCTTGCAGTCGTTCCCGATATCTTTATACTTGTATGCATTTATTCATTTCGGATGTATATGTGTATGGTGCAGTATTTCCGGAAATATATTTGCAATTGAAGACAATTTATCTTTGAATGAATATTTAACCTTTTACTATTCGACAAAGATTTCATATTTGATATTCCAAAATTGAATAAAATATGAATTTATAAAGAGGTAAAAGGATGAATAAAAGAATAAAAATATAATCTCTCATCTCAATTTCTGTTGCAGATACTAAGACCAGAGATAAAGTCGATGCACATTTCATCAGATATCTACTTTAGATTTGCTACAACAGTAGTGGAGACTAAAATTCTCAACGTAAATCAAGAAGCATCAGAAATAATGTTTGATATGACTCTGCCAGATTCAGCTTTTATAACAGGCTTTACAATGTAAGTCCTATTGCTTCACTGTAATTATTGATTGCGTAAATGAGGAACTTCAAGGCACTTCACTATCATTTGACATCCTAGGAAAAGTACACGATGTTTGACAATTAATACATTTATATATAAAAAGTAAAATAACACAAATACCGAACTCTAAGGGAAATTCAAGACGGAAAGTCCTTTATAAAATGGCAAAATCAAAAGCTCCAACACATCAAACGAATGGAAAACAACTGTGATATTCCTAACTTGGTAAAGGCATTTCTTTATGTAGAAAATGATGGATTAAACCTGGTTTTATAGCTTGCGAAACCTCTCACTTGTATACGCAACTAAAAAAATTATATACTAGTATACTACATAAAAAAGCAATTATTTTTTGTCAGGAAATTCACAATATCTTTTCCTTTCTTGTGAGTCTTAAAAAATGAAAACAACACTTAGGTGAGACCGAAACTCTTTTCAGGATAAATATGATACACAAGTCAATATATGAAATTTGGTCGACCTAGCTTGTCGCACATCGACAACTTGATCTAGACACAAAACAATTAAAAACTTATGCCCGAGATAATACATGTACATCATAAATGCAAAACTAACAATCTATAATTGTCATTTTAAAATATCGAAACATTGAAGCAAAAGACTGATTCTTATATGTCATTGAAAGAGTGTTTCCTCTTACAAAAAAGCTATGGAAACAATTGATCATTTCTCGACGAAATTTTCTGAAGACATCTTTTTAAACGGATAGCGAAAGCAGTTATGATTAGGTTGGCATCTTTTTGAAATCTGTGTCACAGACAACCACGAATATGTCTTACTTAAAGTAACTTAATTTGTTTATGAAATCCTAGATTGAGACATGATTAAGATACGGAAAACGAAATATAATGTAGAACCTGTTTACCTTTCCTCGACACCTTGATTTTAGTTGGTTTCGTGTTGCTTTAACTTTAATGTTCTGTGAAAGAGATTTAAAATATACCAAAGGGATATTCAAACTCATTAGTCGAAAACAAAATGCCATGGCACAAGACAAAATACGACCAAAAGGCAAACAACTGTACACAAAACAAAACATAGAAAACTAACAACTGAGCAACAAAAACCCCACCAACAGCGGAGGGTGATCTCAGGTAAAGGTTTTATTGCAATTAATATTAATCAAGTTCCTCTTGAAAAAAAAATTTGGAAAATATTTGATGAACATATGTTTTAATTAAATTTTAATCAAATTTTAATTAGTGTTCGGCTTTGGAATTTATATTTGTAAATTACGAATACTTGAAACACATGTCTGTAATACAGGGAAATGGCAGGAAAACGATATGCTGGTAATGTCAAAGAAAAGGAGAAAGCAAAGAGACAGTTTGCGGAGGCGAAAAGTCGTGGAGAAAGTGCTGGTCACATTGCTGCATCGTAAGTAAAAAGCAATACAAATTCATGCAGTACTATTTTTCAAACAAACCAATTGTGAAGCAACCAGAATAATTCAAAAAGTATATTTGATGGTTTTGAATTTGTATTTATTTTCCACCTTTTGATTAAATTAAAAATTCATGTCATATTTTAACAGTCCGAGAACTTCGAACAAGTTTAACATACTTGTTAATGTTGAAAAGAATGCATTAGTGGTATTCAAACTGAAATATCAAGAATTGCTGAGACGAACCCTTGGATCTTATCATCACGTGATTTATGTAGATCCTGGTCAAATAGTGGAAGACTTTAGAATAAAAGTTTCCATTAGTGAATCCAGAGAAATCATAGATCTAACGATACCACCACTGGAAGGGAAAACAACAACTGGTAAGATTGTTTGTTTACTTTAGCAAAAATAAAAAAAAAATAATTTAGTTAACATTTCACCGTATGTTTTCCTGATGTAGCGACTTCAGACCTCTCAAAAAATAGAAATTAAAGAGTAGCCTATTCGGCATATTTCGACATATCTATTAAGGGTGGAACAATGTAACTAGGTTTGCCGATTACACGTTAAATGTTTTGTCACTTAACGGTGAGTGTCACTTAATACCAGTCACAAATTCTAAATGTATGTTTACCAGTTTTAACATTTTTTTAGATTTAACTTAATGAATTACATAAATAATTCCAAAATCATGAATTAAATTGAATAATTAACCGCAAAAGTAACACAGAAATATCACATATGTGGGTAAATTGGTTGAATCAGGAGTACACAATCTTGAATGAATACCAGTGTAATCTTACGGCTTATTTGAAGTCATTGTGTAACTTATTACACACGTGACTGACAATACTACATATACGTTATTTCGTATGATTATCTATAAATTTTCATTTAAACGTGTATACATGAAACTGCGATGATTTTTTATATGCCTCCTGTTCATGTCTTTAAAAAAAATAAACAAAATGTAAACTTCAATACATGCTAAAAGAGAGGCGAAAGACACTAGAGGGACATTCAAACTCATAAGTCGAAAATAAACTGACAACGACATGGCTAAAAAAGAAAAAGATCAACAGACAAACAGACAAACAATAGTACACAAAACACAACATAGAAAACTAAAGACTGAGCAACACGAATCCCACTAAAAATTGGAGTTGATCACAGGTACTCCGGAAGGGTAAGCAGATCCTATTCCACATGTGGCACCCGTCTTGTTGCTTATGTTAATAAAAACCGGGTAATTAGTCTCATTAGGTAAGTTACATTCGGGAAAGGGGGAACGGGATTGTAGTTACGACATTAGGAACATATCCGCTATCAACTGTGAAGCTAAGATCTGCTTTGAAATACACAGAAGCAAAGTTATCGTCTGTAGTTATTTAATATTCGTAAACATCTGAAGTTTCAATTATAGACAGGAAAATAGTGACCGAATACAAAATTAACTTAACAAAATCCATATCGTTTTTTTTGCAAGATCTATATTTTAGAAATGTTTTGGGAGAATCAACTACAAATTAAGTACATTATATTATTTAAAAAGTCCATTGTCTGTGCATCGGGACATTGAAGTCAAAATTTTAGATTTACAAAATATTCACTAGAACAACAAATATAACATATTTTCAATTCAAGTAGATATTTTTAGTTATACATTTTACTTTAAGTTGACAAGAAAAAAAGTTAGAATGTGGGACATTGAAAACAATTTCTAAGACTTGTAACAATGTCTATGTATCTTATCTCGATTGTATTGGTACTGAACTTGAAAAGGAAGTCTTTCCAATAAAATGAATTTGCTCAAATTTTAGATTTTAAAATTAGATAAAATTGAGAATGGAAATGGGGAATGTGTCAAAGAGACAACAATCCGACCATAGAGCAGACAACAGCCGAAGGCCACTAATGGGTCTTCAATGCAGCGAGAAACTCCCGCACCCGGAGCTTACTTACTAAAATCGTTGATACCAAATTAAGTGTTACCGTATTTAAAGAGATACCCTGTCAATGAGGTATTTCGCGGAAACAGATCTTTAAACACTTTGCTGTTATTCGTCTTCTAATGCATTAATAGCAAATTGTTCAATACAAAATTGTTTTATCGCGGAAACGTGGACATCGACTGCCTAACGTTGTTGTCCATGACTCAGACCGTCAACCATGGGGAAAAAGGTCTTTTTTACAAACTACTCCCCCCTTTTTTTATCGTTTGGTAAGTTGGTTTATAGAAATTTGGATGCAGATGACTTTATGTGTTTTCCTTATTCCTTATATTGTTTACCTTCATGTTTTCTTTGCTGGTTTTAATTTGTAGTTTTGTTGAGATATATCGGCATTTATGTTCTTAAATACCCATATTTACCATGTCTTGAATATGCTGTGACATTGAAATGCTGGACAGCAAATAAAAGTATATTTAGGGATTCTGTGTCATGAATAAAATATAAATACTATCCATTGATTGCCCCATCACCGACAAAAACTACTGATTTCAGCAAAGTAACAAATATCCAGGACAATATATATAGATCATATTTAATTTTGCGACAGAAATACAAAATGTTTAAATATATAAACACGATTCAATCTGAAGCTTTAAAGTCGTTATTTTTTAGATGTTGGTAAACTCGCTAGTATCAAACATATTTCATCAAAGAGAATAGACATAACATACGCCCCAAGTGTTCAGGACCAGAAAACAATGTCACAAGACGGTATATCTGGACAGTTTAAAGTAAAGTATGATGTTTCCAGGGATAAAGATGCTGGAGATTTATTGGTATTGGTTTTTTATTGCTTTAAAATTTGTTTTCTTTCTCTATTGTTGTATACATATCCATGGTTTTTGCTTCAGTTTTCGAACGAATGGCATCGGTAGAGTTCAATATCAATGGGATTTTTTTGCTATCATTATAACATGAAAGATCATAGGAAATCAACATAAAAACGGGTGATATTTTGTATATATTTTTTTGTGTGAACAAAAACTACTCAAGAACACAATTCAACAACAAACCATATCTATTTCAGGTGAACAATTTTGTTGAATAAGTTAGTCATTGACATTTACATATCCACCATTTATTAGCATACAAGGTACACCGTATGAAAAAGGGACACGATAAATTATGCTTTTGGTTGATTTCAAACAACAACAAAAAACGATTTATTTGTTGTTATTGTAAGCGTACACCATGTGCAAATCAGAAATCAACCGGATTGCAGAGATCATTTTTATCATTCTATTAATTTGCATACAACAATCAGGTCATACATTATGTACGTTTGAGCTATAGTTGTTGACCGTTGCGCTTGATGATTTTGTGTCAAATCTGTATATAAAAAAAAACAACCAAAACATTTTTTTAAGCTTTATTAGCAGAACTTAAATTTTTGTCTTTTTTATAGATAGTGAATGGATATTTCGTTCACATGTTTGCGCCAAAAGACTTTAAACCGCTGTCGAAAGACGTAATGTTTGTGTTAGACAAAAGCGGAAGTATGTCAGGTAGAAAAATGATTCAACTGAAAGAAGCGATGAAACTAATAATGCAGGATATGAAACCGGAAGACATGTTAAATATTTTGTTTTTCGACAACAAATTTGATTGGTTAAGCAAATCTGACATGTTACAAGGAACAAAAGTAAATTTTGGTAAAGCAGAGAGATTTATAGACGCCACTACTAGTAGTGGAAGTAAGTAATGTAATTATGTGTTCTTAAAGAAACTAATACAAGTTTTTAATAAGTCTTTATTTTGTTTATTTTTACCTTTTAATTTATCTCTATATCTAAGTATATGTAAGAGAATGATAATCTCTTAACGCTCGTACTTAATCATGAAGAAAGGGATTATCATTCTCTTACAAACTTAGAATACTGGCATGAAAATACGGATTTTGTGTTATTAAAATTTGCTGTTACAAAATTTTGGAAATTATTTCAAATGAAGGAATGTAGAGGCATCAAATCTTACAATTTCATTGGTCGAGGGCACTTTGCTATATTCTAAATTAAAGAAATCATAATAATCTTCCATTGCAACTGATATCTGTTATAGTTAAAACTCAGTGGGCAGTGAAATGATGCAATACGTGTCTTCAAAAGAAATACACGAATTCATATTTCTTAATTTTTCTTTACTTTCTTTGTTGGTTTATTTTTGTCTTCTTGGCTAATGCTTAAACAAGTGTTTTCAACCTAAAACACGAGTTACTTAAATATTGTTTTATTTATTAAGTAAGACAATCATTATTGTCCCGTTTCTTCAGTGAACAACTATACACCAAATATCAATCAGAGACACCATTTTCATGGTGCGAAATTGAATATTAAGCTAAATGTCTTTTCAGTTGGAAATCATGGATTTGAATTTAGTTATGCAGTTTTTATATCAAAGAAAATATGTTTTCATATATCTATTTTCCTTTTGAATTTCAGCAAAAGATTCAGATCGTCATCTTCCTTCCCTTTACTGAATACCAAAATAACATAAGTGTCCTTACAGACAATAATAAATTGCTCAGTCTGCTTAGTGTACCACAAAACCTCTATCAAAAATATTAACATCAATGCCGAGCTCCAGAGCTACTGTCAGAATCAGATGTGGAAATTAAAGTATTCGAAAGATAGGTTAAAGTACATACAATATAAGGCCGTGCTACATTGAGCTGAACTCGGTGTTTGCCTTAGTGTCACTAGCACATTAACTATACTCGATTACGCTCCCATCGATTAAAATCAATTTTTATATGTAGTTAAAATCAAGTAATGATAACATATAGTATATCGTCAATGTAGGCCTTGTGTGGGTTAAGCGTTCCTTAAACGTAGATATTTAGAACATGAATTTATTAAGAATATTTACGGAAGACATATATTGATATTGATAATTATGATACTACTATAAATTGAGTCATAGACCGATTTATTTTCCACAAAATACTACTCTGTCATTAATAAAACGTTAAAGTACACCGTAGTATCTTATTAACACCTATTTAGATTCGCAATACTCATTAAATACACAACATTCATTTAAAAATCCTAGTGGATGCACCCACAGACTGGGGTATTTGGTTGCAGGACAATGTGTAGTTACAATTTGTGATAGTATTTACAAGAAAAAGACAATATTGAAGGGCATAAAATTTCACAATGCAGTTATCATAAGTTGTTTTGTCAAAATTTTAGGAAAATTAAACGAAATCAAATCTATTTTAGTCAAACGATTGGGTAACCCATTATACGGCTAAAACTGATACTTAAACAAATGTTGTAAAATGTATCTTGATAGAAAAATAGGAAGACTTTCCAAAGCAAAGACAAAACTATACCGAAACATTTTCTAAGAATGTCTCTGATGAAAAATAATTAAATTTACCATTGTTTCCTTGACTTAGGAGTTTAGCACACACACATATACCTTTTGATTCAGACAACAAAGGGGTAAGTAAGATTTTAAATGAAAAGATATTTTTAACTCTCATTTGTGATTGTACATGTACGAAAAGATAGTTCAATAAGGGAGGCTGTATGGTATTGTCCTAAATTATATCTATTATTGTAGGTACCAACATTAACAAAGCAGTAACAGATGGAATAAAATTACTAACTAAATACCTTGATACGCAAAAGTCAACTATCTTAATGTTTCTAACAGATGGACTTCCAACTTCAGGGGTAACAAAACCTGTTTCAATTTTACAAAATGTAAAAAAAGCCAATGAAGCCAGAATTCCCATTTTTAGCTTAGGTTTCGGAAATAATGTGGATTTCGACTTTTTGAAACAAATGTCTTTACAAAATAATGGATTCGCACGACGAATATATGAAGATTCGGATGCTGTTTTGCAGATTAAGGGATTATATTCTGAAATTTCATCGGCTTTGTTGACAAATGTCACGTTTAATTATGTTGGTGACATTGATATGAATACACTTACCCAGAACCACTATCAGTATTACTTTGGCGGTTCCGAATTGGTAGTTGCAGGGCAAATGAGATCTAAAGGTTCTAGCATTGTACCCAGTGTTAAAGGTTGGAATAATGGATACACAGACTTACTTTGGAAACGAAGACCAGTTCCTGAACTGAAGGCAATAACCAATGATGCTGATCTATCAATGATAACAGAAAAAATGTGGGCATATCTCACAATAAAGCAGTTGCTAAGAGATATCGAGGGTGACATAACAAGTACGAAAAAGGACAAAATTAAAGCTAAAATCATATCCTTGGCAATAAAGGTATGTTTATATTACAATTCGATCGACGCTTCAAATATTCAAATGGTACGACAATCTATTGACATACTTCGTAGGTTTATAGTTGTTTTAAGTCTGAATGATAACAGAAAGATGTCGACATATCTCACAATAAAGCAGTTGCTAAGAGATATCGAGGGTGGCATAACAAGTACAAAAAAGGACGAAATTATAGCTAAAATCATATCCTTGGCAATAAATGTATGTTTATATAACAATTTGATTGACACTTCATATATTAAAATGGTATTAGAATCTTTTGACATATTTCGTAGGTTTATAGTTGTTATTAGCTCGAAAACAATGGCAAAGCTTCATGTATACCCAAAATAGTTGTTTGAAGTTAAAATTTCTTTAAATCGATTAAAAACATTTATTCACGTTTTTCATATTTGCAAATCTATAAGAATGGATTGAAAATCCTCTGTTAATCGAATGAAAGCGGCTTTGAGACTGCTTGCTAGTTTGCCAAATGCTCTAGTACGTATTAAAAGCACAACAATCTCATTATTATTGCAGTTTTCATGTGTCACTAATATCCAACATCGGTTTTTGTTTCCAATTTTGACAATATAGGGTATATAGCATACACTAGACTTTCATTCATTTTAAAAATAACTGTTACATGGTCAGATCAGAGATTGATAATTAACCTGTTTGAAGTTTTCTGAATGTACTTTCAATGATCTGATCAAAACCCACCAATATGCCGAATGAATAAGATTTGCGCTTAGAAACGTAAATTTTTAGTTACAATATATTGATAAAAAGATTTGAAAACAAATAAAGCCAGGAGACTAATGACCTGATTTATACTAAAACAAGAAAACGAAATAAAAATATGAAATACAGCAACCAACGATTACTACTGAATAGCAGACTTCAGACATTGGGGACAGTCACACAAAGAAGATGGTGGTGTTAAACATGTCTACGATGGTAAACTTCTCCTCAAACCTGGGAAACTGGAATAACAGCAAGACAAGTACAAACTGTAAAAAATAATTGAAAAGGGTTTGACAAAATGCCCAAAATATTGATTGACAACAGGCACTAAGTGCTAATCTAAGAGTACTCGCAGTTATTCATGTTATTTGAAGCAAGTTGAGAGCCCATTACAACTTACAAGATTACCCAGACTAAAATATTAATTAGCTCACATCCAACGTGTTTTGCGTAAAGACGTCATGAACAGACTGAGAAAAGCAGAACATTGTACAATACCAACATATTGGTATCTACATGATATCTGACCAACCGAATTCATAACTGTATAGTTACATATATTTAGTTATGATTTGATTTGTTCAAAACAGTATAAATGTGTGTAAAAGGACATAATTCCAAATTCTTACAGTATTAAATTGATATCCTTTAAGAATAGGGTTATACAAAGGCTTCATAAATTTACACAATACACAACATAGAAAACATAAAACTGAGCGAGAAGAATAAAATTTATGCGTTTTTGCAATTTCACTTTAAGTTTGACAAACCCGTCGTCGATTACTTTTATTACAATAATTGGTTTTATTTAAGGGATTATTGATTGATCACACGAATTTAATAAAAAGAAAAATTTCTGTGCACAAGTTCCACAAAATGAAAAATTTAGATCGGAAGTACTTTATACCCTCAAAATATTCATTCATTTATTTTTATCGTTTTTTACTACTATCAAGATATGTGAACAGAAACTTCTGGGTTTTTTTCTTGATTGTTGAAATTGTACATTTTTTGTTTGATGGACAACCATATTTTAGTCAGAGTGTTTATTGATCTAAACATAATAAAGAAGAAAAGAAATAGGATATTAATCTATGACATAAAATCAGCTCATTTACAGCGAAAAACACCAAAAGCTAAGGCACAGAGCTTTTATCACAAAGATGTGCATTGCACTAATAGACTTTCCAATATCAACTATAAAATAATGACAACTATAGTCTGAAAATAAATTGTATACTTTCAGTACCAATTTGTCACACCTTTTACATCTATGGTAGTTACAGCACCTCAGCTTCGACAATCGATACCATTCAGAACCAGTGAGTAAATAACCTCGGCTCACAGACGCAAACACTCAAATTAGACAAATGAATACCTCTCCCCCTGTTTTCAGAATAACATCTCCTTTACGAATTTAATGAAATCAATATAACAGATGAACTGGCAAGAACATAAATAAACAAAAATGCTATGAAATTGTATATTTGTACAAAGCGATATTGGTATTTTCATGTGATAAAAGTTGATAATGATACGAATTTGAAAAAAAACATGGGTTACATATAGGTTTACTTTCAGATACAACCCACTAGCCCGATGGTTACCGACCAGCGTCAAATTGTTGATCTGATTATGTGGATTTAGACCGAACATAGATTTTATGTTGCTACGAAAAAGAGGGGTAGAAAAAAAAAATGTAACAAATAAAAAAATAAAGGGAGTAAGAAAGAAAATTATACTTTGAAAACATGAGAATTAAAACAATAATAAATAAATACCCGTCTAATCATCAAAACTTACGGGTGCATTAATCTAGAAGTATTATCACAAATAACAGAAATATTTATTTATTAAAAAATTCTGTTATATATGTACATTTATTCATTTTTTATACATATACTTAGGCCATGTAAATTCTGATGGTTGGAAAAGTAAATTGAATTTTCTGAGCTTTGGTGGCAATAATTTTGTTGGCGGAAACAGTGGTTGTGGCGGAGGTGGAGGCGGTGGCTGCGGTGGTGGAGGAGGAGGTGGTGGAGGTAGAATTGGCGGCGGTGGTGGTGGCGGCGGTGGAGGAGCATCAGGAAGTGGTATCTATTTTGCTATTATCTCTTACTATTTCAATGTGTAAATGTGCTTAAGGTTCATGCAATATTAATGAATTACTCTTTTTTATGACAAGTTTTTTCTTGTCAAGGTATGTATTACTTGAAGTTATAAAGGCGGAATTCGATAGAAGAAAGCAAGAAACGTTTGGAAATATGTATACTGTACATTGTTGTACTTTCAGCCATGAAACACACCTTTGATAATTACCATCTAGATAGTTCAACTCATGCAGACATTGTAAATTTTTTTATGTCTGCATGTATTTATCTGAGTGCTTAAGTACATTTGTGTAGAAGGATGAATACCAACTTTCTAAAAATTGTATTTCTGCAGAAAGATTTTGTAATGCGTGCAATTTTGATACATCAATTTATAAATATTAACTACAGATCAAGTTTGTGTTTATTTTCAAATAAATAACTATTATAAAATAGTGGACTAAAGTAATGAAATAACAGATGCATTTGACCGGTCTTTTCGTAAGCCTGCAGATCACGAGCCAATGTATCGCACATAAGTGATGATGAATTACCGATGAGATTTGTGCTTTTCACGAACTAAAGACTTTTGATGGAAATGCGGCATGGTCGGCACTTTTGAACTTGTCATGACGTTTTTTGTTATTTGTTTCGTACCAAAACTGATTGTTTATAGGTTGTTTTTTTTGCATAAACGACACCTTAAATTGATTGAACATGCATATGTTTACTTTTGAAAGGTAATACTCAAATTCATATAGTTCCTCTAGCTCGTTTTTGATAGAAATACCTTATTCCTGCTAGAATATTCCAGATGTGCAATTTGTTACCATCTTACATCATTTATTATTTGGAATAAATACGTAGAACATTAGAACACCATTGATTTTGAAAGTACAAGAAAAAGGTTTCAGTTGTCCCCTTAGTGAAATATAAACAGAGAAGAAATTGGCTTTTCCTCCTTCAGTACTCTTTGGCTTTAAAAAATTGCTTCTTTTCTGTTCTAAATTCCAAGCAATGGGGAATTTAAACCCGTTTTCATAACAAATAAAGAGACTTATTTCAACAAAATGATGTGAATTTTAACTTTGGAATCGGCAAACTCACATCGCCAAGTATTTAAAGTGTGTTCTGGTTATTACTAAATTTTCTATATTGAACATGTTCGCATAGACCTGCAGTTTGGAAAGTGACACTATTTTTGGTGGAATTTGCTACATCGAATAAGCACTTTTCAGTTTATTTAACGGTATAAATATAAAATATGATAACCATTCTTTTTACGGAAGGTCATATTATAGTAACAAAAAGATTTAGGAGACCAGAAAGGGTGTAACCTGAGTAATGCTTAATTGTTTTGTAAATTATAGCTGCATCTGCATCACCCAGCGAGCTCACTACATTTGTAATGCCCTGTCTCTGTCGTATCAAATTATTAACCTGGTAACTTTAATTAATATTTTCAAACACTTTAACATGTTTAAAAAAAATTTAAAGACATGTCTGGAACATTTCTGTCTTTTTTTCTTCAAGTTACTCTAAATCCCTTAATTTTTTGGATAATCCTTTCAAATTCTTGAACTGTGTCATTTCTTAAATTGAATATTTTACCTCGTTAACAATCAAACTAACCAACCGTGTCATTTCATGTCTATTTTTATATTCTATTGTTGTTTTGAGATAATAATGACAGCGAGTTTGACGTCAACGAGTTAGAAAAATAATCTGCATCTAACATCCCTCTCCAGTTCCTGACTCTGCAATGGACAATTTCTAGCATTTTTCTTTCTGTGTATTTCTTTGCTCACACATACCTTTGGAGCATATAATATTTAAGGTTTGCGTCTTCCCGTGAAGTTTTTTTTTGTAGAAGGCGAAATGACTCCAAAGCTCTGCACATCATTTCTAAGGTTTTCATTTTCGTTCTGCCTGTTATAAATGTAACTGTCTGATTATCAACCAGTCAATCCAATGACAAAACGATTGTTATTTTTTCATCTAAAAGTATATATTGGTTCTTTGAACAGAGGAAAACATACATTAAAGATACCAGGCTTATAACTTTATACACCAGACGCACGTTTAGTCTTTTAGATTTGAATAACTCAACATTGTATATGCAGTAAATTTTCACAAAATCAACATGCATATCAATAATATTTCATGTCAAGACATAATGTGCTGACTACTGAGCTGGTAATGCTAAGTGATGCTCGAATCAACAGTTGGAAGTTGAAGAACATTAAAATCCCCAAATCTTTAAACGTTGTGCCAAATTCAGTAGTTTACTGATGTTCATATTGCGTAAAACGATTGGGAAGAGCAGATCAAGGTAAAAAAAAAACTAAGAGAATAGTATGAAATGCAAAAAGAGCGAGATCAGGTTCGTTGAATCGGTAAGTGTATCCTGATATACATGCATCAATCTAAATGCGAATTCATCCTGAATCAAAATCTCAAAATCGGGAATTGGAGACTATCGGTAAAATAAAAGATTAGACGACAAAGTATGATCTTAAAATTTAAGACTGAAAACAACATGTCGCTATGGATAATAGTTATGACACTGACACATCGTTATGTACGACCAACCCGTGATGGTGACCGTAAAACTTATGTAGTGTTGATTTCAGTCCTTCTATCTCATAACTCAATTGGAGCTATTTTATGTAAGGAACACATTGGTGTTAACGAAGTCTTAATAATGTTAATATACACGAGCGTAACGTATTAAATGAAATTTGTAAACAAAGTACATTTGAGCAGAGTAAAAGGAAGTCGAAAATCGGAGAGTTGCATTCATGACGTTTGTCATAGATTCTATTTTGAAGTCGTCCATTTGTTTTAATAACGAGAGATATGTCCATGATAAGAGTACTTATACTATTCAAATCAAGTTAAAATCTGATTTCAACCAATAATTTTTTCTCTGTTTGAAATATGATTCAGTGTATATCCTATGGATTCAAATTTTACATAGTTAGTTATGTTTGAGCAGTATCTGTATTTGTAGGTCTTTGTATATAACCATATTTCACCTAGTTATCACCTTACTTACCATGTAAACATTATACAACCTAACGAATTATAGTATAAAAAGTGTATAGTAAGTTCGAGAGGTGACTCCTTGATTGTCTTACATAAATACGTTTGAAGAAAAGTAATTTACAATTCAGCCATCATCTCACCCTATACCAATCTTTATATTCGAACTTAATTTAATCAGATTGATATGTCTTATATTTATTTAATTATCTTACTCTTATGAGTGTCGTCAACAAAATCAACATCTGGTTATGTCAATAGCCTAAAAGTTAAATGATATCGATTCACATTGTGTCGACATTTTCGATATCGGGGATATCGACGTGTGGATAAGTCTTGGGCATGTATGAATATCAAGGAAAAGATCAATATATGAAGCAGACCTTCTACTATCGGTAGTATATTTGATCTCAGTGCCACTAGGATATAATATGTACGCTCTCATTGGATAAATGAGTGACAGAACATGATCAATATAACTGAAAGTGTTATTCAGAGAACTTAGAAATATCCTTTTTGTTTTTGTCTGTGTGAAGGTTCTGTATGAAATACCGGCCAAAAGTTGTGCACAATTATCAACCATTAGAATACCGACTGTTTGGCTGAAATATATATCCACTTAACTCAACACATATGTTCTCGATCAAAAAGTCGAGGATTTCCATATCATCTTCAGTGTATTTGTTGTCGCAAATACGGCTTATGCAATTTATGCCTAGGGTAGAAAAACCTAAGAGTTTTGAATAATGCAACATATCATAACAGTTAATTTAATTTTTATAAAACATGAATATATCAATGTTATTTTATTTCTTTTAAAAAATATGCTGACTACTGGACTGGTGATAGCCTCTTGGACGATACGTTTACAGCAATGGCATCGGCCTTGAGGTTTTGAAAACTCATAATAGATAACAGGGGGAGGGTTTGGCGAAATCAACTAGTTAAACCCCTCCACATTCGGTATGTGCCTGTCCCCAATCAAGAGTTTGTAATTCAATGGTTGTCGTTTTTTGCTGTACATCATATTTGCTTTTCGTTCATTGTTTTGTACATAAATCAAACCGTTAGTTTTCTCGTTTAAATTGTTTTACATTTGTCATTTTGGGATCTTTTATAGCTGACTATCTTGGTTTTGCTCATTGTTGAAGGCCGTAGAGTGACCTATAGCTGTTAACTTCTTTGTCATTTGGTCTCTGGTGGAAAGCTGTCTCATTGGCAATCATTCCACATCTTCTTAGTTTTATATAATTATACTCAGCAATATGTTTTCTTGTAATTCAATATATGCGATAGCCACTGCTGTATAGTGAGTTGTATCTTTATCAAGTTCTGACTGGGTTTACAAGCCAAGCTATTATTAGGAGTTGTATTGTGTTTTGTATAGTATCTGTATTGTACAATTTCAAACGTGAACTGAATATCAGAAAGAAAAAACATTCATTTTCTTTAATTGATTGGCGTTGTACACTGAATATCAGAAAGAAAAACATTCATTTTCTTTAATTGGTTGGCGTTGTATGACCGTTATCAAGAGCTATATTGTAATAAAGTTCTACATAAATTAAAATTGATAAACACCCTTTTGATGAAAAAATAAACAATATCAAGAAAGAAGTGGGTTATATTAGTCTGCATCACTCTTAAAATATTATTGTGTTATCAAAGATTTTAGATATTATAACTAAGTAGTTTTCCGTTCCCTAAAAAAGGTATAATCCAAGATAATTCAGTATCAAAGTTCAAAAGAATTCTAAAAATATGCCAAATTTTTAAATATTTAAGTCAAATTGCAGATCATATAAAAACTGTCTTTCTTCTATATTTACGTACATAATCAAGTCATATCTCTTCCAATTAAAAACTACGATATTATAGATACAACCATGCCACTAAAAATATCAGACGTTAAATTTAAGAACCTACATAAGTGTTATTTTTTTCTTTTTTGTAGTCGTGTCCAGGAAATTAGCAAAGACTACGAATTCAGACCCCTTTGTCTTATCTAAGGGTATGAGTAGAAAGTTCTATATTATAGGTACCTCTTTCCGTTTGGCATGTGACAAAACTTTTTGTCAGAGTACAAAATTAAGTATGAAACAGTACGATTGTCAAATTGGTTCCCAGGACTGGATTTTAGGATGGCAATTATTCCCTTTTCATAAACAACAGACGGATAAATTATATGATAGGGAACTGTCTCTTGTAAAAGGAGAAATATGGTCATCAACCAAATTACAAAGAGACAGCCGATTGACTCAAATATTTGTGAAATGAATTTATAGTTTTTCTGTCAGATTGAATACTATCTTCGAAAAAAGGAAACAATTAAACGACACAGTGCATCGGAATAATATTAGCATTATTACAATGGGGTATTTCCAAAATGAACAACCGCATTCTGTAATTCAAGTATTACTTTTCGTGAACTGTTCCAAATTTCACTATTCTGATAATATAAACACCATAATATAATAAATAAGAAGATTTAGTATGATTGCCAATGAGACAACTCTCCTCCAGAGACCAAATGACAAAGAAGTTAACACCTTTAGGTCACCGTACGGCCTTCAACAATGAGCAAATCCCATAACGCATAGCAAGCCATGTCTTTATTAAACATTCTAATAATCCAATCCAGAAAAATTCTATCTTAGAACTACAGGACGTTAGTTGCTGTCTCTTATATTTGATTTTCTTTTATTGTTATTACTATTACATAATAGAAATCATTTCGGATCATTTAGTTAAAGTTTGGATGAGGTTATTGTAGTAGAGATTTTTGAAAAAAAAGTTACGACAATAACGGACGCCGTGTGAGGGTATTTTTGTTCCATAAATCCTATATTTATATGAAAAAATCATTCATTAAAAAATTTCAAGATTCGTGATATCATATCCTCATTAAGTACAAGTTTTTATCTTTTGGTCCTTCCGAAATCTATGTAGGATATAAACTCATCATAGATACCAGGATTAAAATGGTGTACGCCTGATGCGTGTATCGTCTTCAAGAGACTCATCAGTGACGCTGGAATCCAACGTTTAAAGGCCAAATTACGAAGTGAAGGAGCATTGCGGACACACAATTTTGCCAAATCTTGAAATGATGAACGAACAACATAAGGGATTAATAACAGCATGATTTCTCAAAGAATTGAAATATTCCCTTTTTTTTCTTAGATATGAAATTAAGGAAAAAAGCATTTTCATGATTATAGCTGAGGATTGTTTTGTTGACTTTACTCAATTGATATCGAGAAAAGTTTTAAAATAATTTCTAACCTAACTGTGTCGTTCAAGGTAAATATATTAGATATGTTAAGCTCATGAAATCATTCATGCAAAAACGCTTATTTCAAAATGTAAAGGTTTTGACTGTTTAAGCTATTACATCGGAAGCCAAGTCTGAGATGTTTACGCATTACTTCAGAAAGCATATAACAATACAGATATTTAACAGTCTGTGGATTTGACTGAAACAGTAAGGTCAGCTTCTTTAATAACCAATCCTACCAACAGGTAGGGTACATTCGCTCGAAGACTAAATAACGAACTAAGTAAGTATTTATTTAGAAATATTAAGAAATCATTTAACCATGTCTTTGGGTGATATCACATTCTAACCATGTTACAAGTCTAATATTTTACATGTTTTATCTTGTGTTTTAGACCAAAGATCTCCTAATTTCTTTTTACACATGAAAGGATCAACAGTACCTCTCTGTATGAATTTAAATCCAAATGAAACTGGAAGATATCAGTTCTTATACAGTCCAAAAAGTAAGAAAGTTCAAATGTTTAAAAAATCTAAACTATTTAAGTAGAATTGGATTGCCCAAATAAAAAACACCTAAAGAGTAGTGTCATCTATCACCAATACGAATATATCTCAAAACCTGTAAAATTAGAATTATATTGAATACAGATCGACAAAACACCTTATTGTTTTGTCCGTCTGTACTGGATATCAAACATACATGCTTGTATGACAGAAATAGTTCAATTGCTGCAGATTCCCAAATAACGACAAGGTCGATTATGAAGTATGACAGTGTGAAATATGTTTATTGACCATTTGCAGACATTAGTATTACAACTTGAATTTTTCGGTGTACAGAAGCTATGCCGATATCGAGTGATTGTGACAGATTGTTAAACCTTGATAAGCAGCAATTTCAAAACAATATAGTTATTTCCAATTAAATTGGAACCTACAGTTTGTCAACTACATTCAATTTAAAAAACGGACACGCCATTTGCAGTCGTGTATAAAGTGTGATAGGTAAATAATTGATTGAACATAAATGCTTTTAAACTAAACGGACCGGATACATGGGATTGCAGTTTTTTTATAAATCCCCCCTAAAAAAACAATGAGGACAAAATATTGAGACCTCATATACCGTTAATAGACAGTTGGGTCAATACGATGCGCAATTTATTTTTATGTAGATGGTAATATTATCATTTTCTTGAATTCCTCGGCCAAAGTTGTAAACTAGGATATGAATGATGGCTAGGTTTGAGGCTAAAACATTTTTGCACATACATTAAATTTTCAGGGTACGAAATGTGATTGATTTTTTTAGTAATTTAGCATACATCGGCGGGGGATTGGTTCCGGAGGTTGGAACCCCCCATTTTTTCCTAAAGATCAATGCTTTTGAATGGGGACATATGTTGGAACCTCTCTCCCCCCTTTATCCTGGGTTGGACCCCCCTTTTAAAAATGGCTGGATACGCCCCTGAAACTGGTTAAAACTGCTTGAAAATTCAACTTTAAGTTACTAATAGAATAACTTTTAATTTCAGAGCCACACAAATCCCTTCATGTAATCTTTGAAAAACAAATGATTCAGAAGAAGAATAGGGATTACATAAAAGCCGTGAGGTTAAGGGAAGGAACGGAAACACAGTTTATGGATTCTAAGATTTTAAATGTATCGACTGCTACTTTGAATTCGACGAAACTATGGAAGGAGATCAACAACAGGAGAACAAACGATTTTTCGCTATATAATCTTACGACTGTTATCTCCCCTTCTAAAGACCCGTTATTTGGTTTACAGCTGCATCTTTATATAAAACAAAGCAACAACGCTTATGCTACTGGACCATTAAGTAAGCATTATTTGAATAACAGAAACAGCAATTATCATTAATCGTTGGTTCCATTATAGAAATACAAGGACTGACAAATAACAAGTATTCGAATGCTGGAAAACTTTCGTTATGCGGAAAATTACTCTTTTTTAATGTTAGAAACATTGCTCTTTGATGGTTGATTCATTGGAATTTTTCAATTTTTCAAATTAGTGTTTAGCCGTACTGATATGAAATATAAGTTTAAAATAGGCAGACAACTAGCTTTGGTATCGTTGAAATTTTGTTATACATGCAGCAACACTATATTTACGGTAGATATAAAACCTTTATTACACTTCAGTTCCTTGCCTTCAAGGGTTAGGCGTGAACCAGTTAAACAAGTTTCAATAATACACATTCGAAATCCAGTATCAACAAGTAAAACAGAACAAATGGTTGACATTAGTATATATCAAAAAGACCATAACTTGGTGACGTAATATGTCTATGTCAAAGGCCTAAAATGCAAGGTTGAACACATTATATTTATTACAGTTCATAAGCTATTTTTTTCTTTCTGTGGATTTAAAAGCGGAAATATTGGACGCAATATATGATCCAAAATTCACTTATCCGAAATCAAAAGGTTCCTTTACTTCTATTGAATTCCTAGACACATATTTCTTCATCAAGGATTGCGGCCAAAGTAAATTAGACAAAAAAACTGTTAAATTTGTGGAAAAAAATTGGACCTAAACTCATTAAAAACAGAAATAATGCATAGTTAATGGGGATAACTACTTTATAGAATGGTTATTTTAAATGCGGTAAAACAAAATACTTTCTTTTAGTAATATTATCACAACTATTGATATGTTCTGAAGTAATTAAACCTGTTTAAAACAAGATTGTGTCCATAGTACACGGATGCCCCACTCGCACTATCATTTTCTATGTTCAGTGGACCGTGAAATTGGGGTCAAAACTCTAATTTGGCATTAAAATTAGAAATATCATAGCATAGGGAACTAAGTTTCAAGTTGATTGGACTTCAACTTCATCAAAAACTACCTTGACCAAAAACTTTAACCAAAAACTTTAACCTGAAGCGGGACAGGCGGACGGACGAACGAACGGAAGAAAGAACGAACGGACGCACAGACCGAAAAACATAATGCCCGTAAATAGGGCATAAACATGTTAAAATCTTAGGGCCAATTTAAGCCCTTCGAAAAGGTAAAACAACTCATCAAAGATACCAGCTAATAGTTTGATACGCAAGACGCGCGTTTTGTCTACATAAGACTTACCAGGGGAGCTGAATTCAAAACAGCCAAAAGGCTGAAACTGTCATTTAGCCACTGTCTGGAAAAAAAAAACTTTTATCTTTGTTAATATAAAAATAAGGAAATGTGGTATGATTGCCAATGAGACAACTATCCACCAAAGTTCAAATGAAGTGGATGTAAGCAATTATAGGCAACCGTACGGCCTTCAACAATGAGAAAACCCATACCGTATGGTCGGTTATTAAAGGCCCCGACATGAAAAATATGAAGTAGTTCAATTGAGAAAACTAACGGACTAATTTATAACAAAACAATTTACAAAATGTTAAGTTCGTATTCGTTTCTTAAATGTGTGTCTTTACATTTATTGTTTAATGCAGTTATTTCATCAATGCTTTTAGTTTCAAATAATCATTATTCCCAATCATTTTGTTAACCTTATCATTTTTCTTTTTTTATATTCATAGGTTGGTTTGTTGGAATGAGAATAAAAAACTTTGGGCTTGAAATAGTTGTGCAACCGAATGTAGGAAAACAGTTTACCATCAGAAATTTTAGACTACTTAAATCTACGTCTGTATCTTCATTTTTAACAGACTCATGTTGGTATATAATCAACCCCGAAAAGGAATTTCCACTTTGGGAAAGATTATTTCAGCAAAAAGATGTCGAAACATGGCCATAATTATACGAAATCAATATGATGCTTTTTAAAAGTTCAGTTGCATTTGATTTTTAGAAAAAAATTAATTTAATAGAAATCAGTGTTAAATGTTACTTTAAAATAAAAAGCATGATATATATGAAATAAACCATTATAATATTATACCACGCATCAAAGGAGGGGAGAATATTTGTTTTACTCCTGTCTGTCCGTCCGTTCGTTTGTCCGTCTGTTCGTATGTCCCATTAAATTTATGAACTATTTGTGTAGAAAACTACAAATATTAGCTACAAGGCTTGAAAAATTTTACTGTGTAATGCGTTTCAGGTTCATCATACTTTTAACTTCCTGTTTACTGAATACATAAAGCGAGGATATTATCAGTTGCCAATGGCTCACAATTCTACTTGCTTTCAATATTTAGGTACATTTGCAAAAGTGGGAGTGCACTTTAATTAAGGCTCGTGAAATTGATACAAATAAAACAATTATTTACATGGAGTCAAATGTGCTACATATTGAAGTCGCAGTTTCAAACATATTTACATTGTTAATTCCCATTTAGTAGAAATTTAGGGCTGTCACTGAATAACTTTTTGATAGCACTTGTTAGATAATATGATAGTCACTATTCCAACATTTCATTGTCATAAGGATTTAAAGAAAAGAAAATGAATTTACAAAATAAAAGTTAACGTTATATCAGCATGGCGTTTAGTTTATTCTTTAACCGCCATTTTCACGGCTTATGTGTTCGTGCAATGTGTTTCTTTTCATAATTTGACTTGTGATACTTTGGCAGTTTTGGAATTGACATTTAATTTTCTCTTTTTGTGCGGTAACCACAAGTTAACTTTTCTGTCAACTTCAAAGTCAATTTTCAAGTCTTTACATATATCTAACAAGTGAACGATACAGGTCACTTAAATTCCTTGCTTATAACAATATCATAGAATCATAAATTTCGAGTTGTATAATAACTTGCAAAAGGAAAAAAATATAATCTACATGTCGTCAGCATGGATATCAATTCCATTGGACTTATACACTAATAAAAATTGTGTTAACCCTATTAGAACTATTATCTACGATAACTCTCTTCGTTTTCCTTGTTGTCCAATTCACTAGGCAATATTATCTTCGGTATATACCTTTTAATTCGATATGAAAGAGACCCTGTTGCAAAGATAAATACTCTTCAGGTTGATTTAAGTAACTCATATCAAACTCATTAGAAATTAAGCGACCACCTTTAAATATTGCTTTTTTAATGTTATAAATTACCAAACATCATATTCACTTTACATATCTGTATTTGTCAATTTAAATGTATAAATATTTTTTGATTAATATTGGTGGATGATGCATACATTGTTAGAGGTATTATGCTTGTCGAATCATCTAGTCGTATCCCGTGTGCTATGTAAAATATCTAGTCTGGTCATTCCAAGATTATATATTATCTTTATAATCATTTAAAGGACTCCCTTCTTTAATTGAAATTGAGATCGGTTCAGAAAACGAGAATTTACGTAAAATGTTCATCACATGACTTCGATTGACTTCGGATTTTCTAAAATGAAAAACTACAGTTGTTCACAATTTTAAGTACTACATTAGATCTTTATTATAGAGATACAATTCCAGTGATTTGCAATACAAAAAAACGTACATACACAAAAGAGCAGAATAAGTGGAAGTCAATATAAAATTAAAAAATAAAACTCTGGAGAAGCAACAACAAGTAAATTATCACTTGAACCTGCTGATTGATTTAATGCAAATTCGTATGTTCCATTCTATGTAATAAGATCAATAAATATAAACAGATAGCGCCTTCGAAGAGGTCTTCGCTTTTTTGTACAAAAAAACAAATTAATCAATTAATAAAGTAAACTTTTTAAACGACTAAAATAATTTACGTAGATATTGTTTCACACGTTGATGTCAGCCACATGATTGATTATTGTTTCGCTTCGCTCATTGCCTCTGGTAGATTATATGTCATTATCCTTTTACAAAGTGTCATTGTTGACCTTTGTGGTTTTAAATTAATTCGTCATTACTTATGTTTACATTACAATCAGGAATAAAGAACGAAAAAGCTAACACTTCTTGGAAGTCTTATAATATAACATTTTAGGAAAATTGGGAGCAATTAATCACGTTGAAAGTCAAAAGAATTAGAAAAACTACCGTTAAATACTTCTACACATATCTTTCTAAACAAGTCATTTTACCACATTGTGATGGCGGCATTTCACTATCTTTATCGCCGTCTTTCTCATTTGAAATGGGGGGAAAACCAACTGGGTTTGCAACAATGATAATGCCATTGTCAAAGAGAACTGTCCACACAAAAGAAGATAAGGAAACCTTTTTCCTCCAAAATCAGGGAGGGAATTCGTCAGAAAAAAAGATAGTTCTTGGAAATCGGTGATAAACAGCTTTCGGTGATGTTACAATCATGAAAAATATATGCATAACAAAAATATCGATCTTAAATGTAAATTCAAAAAGGGGAAGTCCATCAAAAATGAAACAAATAAAAAAATTGAAGGGTTCGTGTGCTTGTTTTCAAGATATTAGCCTTTGAAAATTTGGCTGGAAGTGATTCTCTCTAGACTTTTGATACATTTAAAATATGCACATTTTTACTATCAAAAACTATGAAATTATAAAAAAGATTTTATAAGATTTTCAAATATGGCTTTTTAAACTATATGTTATAAAAATATGAAAAGAAAAGTAGGGGTTTGTGGTCAAAACTTTTTAATGGCACTACATGGATAAAACCAGAGGATTCCGAATATCTGGCAAAAATTCACAAACAACAGGAGCGAATATCCTTAATTCAAAAAAAAAACTACAGACACGTCTTTATACATATGTCTGAAGGTTGTGGGTATAGATCAACCAGTACAGCACAATGCATGTATATAGTTTAATATCATATTAAGTGCAATAATTGCATATTATTTAAAGAGGAAGAAATCGATTTGCATTAATATTTTTTCTATCATAACAATTGTAATTATCTTTAAGCGGTGTTTGAAATAAAGTTGAAGTAGTCCCTGCTGAAATTTTACTGGCGTTATCGTGTGCTGATTGACCGTTACTGTGTCACAGATGAACACGGATATGTTCCAGTTCTTCGATTAAGACTTATTTACACCATATATGTACTTACAATGTGCATTTGAAACAGGACGGATAACAAATGAGTAGCGTGATATGCTTACCCTTCCAGAGCGCATGATATCACCCCAGGTTTTGGTGGAGTTGCTGTTTTGTGTGTCTGTGTGTGTGTGTCTTCTTCCAGTTTGTTATGTTATGTTTTGTTTTGAAGAGTGTTGTTTATTGGTTTTGTTCTCCATTTAGTATCTGCCTACCTTTTTTCAGCAGATTAAAGGACTCAAACAATGCACATGAATTTTCAATTTTCAATTTTAAGACTTTCTATACATTGCACAATATGTGTAAATATCAACTACAAATTTATGCTAAATGTAAGACATGATCATCGTTTATATATGTAAGTTGAGATAGGTTTTAATAAATAACATGGCCTTGATAATACAAATGAAAATGCAAAACTGAACAGATGTGTCAAACGTGAAAGTACAGCTAGAGTATACCTTAATTTGGTTTAAACAAATTATGAAACGATACTTGAGGCAGTCCCAATATTCAGTCTTGAAATGATTGCAACTATTACTTTTTTTAGAATGTATGATTTTGATTTGAATATAATATCTATTTACTACATGCACTCTGTAACTGTTTTATATGTTTTAATGGTACATGTACACTGAACTATCATGACTATATGATTGTGAACTGACTATGTGTTAATATGTTGTATGTTTGCTTTTTTTCTCTTATTATTATTTGTTTACTTGTATTGTATATGAAGGCCTCAGGGAAGATTAGTACTAAAGTAACTAAATGTGTCTAACCCTCTTTAAATAAAGAATTTATTATTATTATTATTATTATTATTATTATTATTATTATCATTATTATTGATATTTCATAGAATATCAATCGGTACCTGGCTTAATGAACTATATTTTGGCGCCAACGGAATTGTTTTTTTTTCCTCCAATATTTTTTAAGATATACAATTTCTTTAATCATTGAATTAAGAACTGAATGAGTGATAACACAACGTAATGTTCTCACGTATTTAAACAATGAAGGGGATTTATGTTTTCGTTTTTACATATTATGCTAATCAGATGTATTAAGTCCGGGAACGTTGGATATTTACTCTTCATTGTTTTGTAAACACAACGTTGTTATAAAAGAGAAAAACTATTATGAAATAAGTACTGTTGTAAAAAGTTGATAATGCACAGACGTATCATCATGTTTGGTACTAAAGTTTCTAAAGTATATCTCAACCTATTGTACTTGCTGTTGGTGCTATTTGAGAAACAAGTATTTTCACAGGTATGTTTTGCTTCTATCATATATCATTCTACCAAACAGTATATTTCTTTCGTTTTTGCATAAAACTATCTGGTATTTATCATTAAACAGTCTACTTTTGTGTGTAGCTGTTGCTTTCAACTTCCTTTACTTTTCTGCTGACGACAAATTATATTTACGTTGACATTAATTAGCTCTTCTTTTTTCCTTGTCGACTTTTTCCTTAATTTTTCGAAGAAATATTTGATGCGGAGATAAAAACAACCTGGCATGTACCACTTGCGTAGCCAAAATCTTGTCGTCTTTATGCAGTTTTTCACTAGATATTAACTGCAAAGAGTAACACAACAATTGACATTAGTTAAACAGAAACTGTTGATCAAACAATAACATCCCAGTTTTGTTTTAAAGGGCGTTGTGTTGCTTTTCATTCAGTTTTCAGTATTATAATTTAACTTATTTATTATTTGATCCACCTGATGACAATCTTGTCTATCTTTCAGTCAAGCATAGGATAAAAATTGATTTGCGCTGATTGTGGATGATATTCTTGATGTCTTATGATTTGATTATATCTACAATGATAAGATGTGTCATTTGATATCACTTATCAAGGTACTTCAGTAGGAACTTCATGGCGGATTTCACTAGTAAAACAGGAATTAAAAGCACTACTCGAGCACCTCAGGTTTTCGTGGTGGTTGTGTTGTTCAATATTTAGTTTTCAGTGTTACCTAGGTGGACAGCTGTGTTGAATTTTGACAACGGTATAGTACGTTTCAATTGGAGTTTATTTGTTTTACAATTGCACGCTTTGTATCTTTTCAATCTTTTAATCTTGTATAAAACCATTTGTAATATCAAAATGCAAAATGGCAAATAAGTTTAGATGGTGAAGTTCCCTTGGCACCATCACCTTATGGTGTTAATTTATCTCAGCTTGTTCGATTCACTCATGTAAGTAACTACTTTTTTATTTTAACGAAAGTCTCTGTATTACTGAAAAAAATTATTACACCAGAGTTTTCAATCATCGGTACAAGGACATCATTCGTAAATATAGAAACGTGCAAACATCTTTTTCGTTCAGGTATTTCCCATCCCATCTTTTATAGTAATATTCTATATAAAGCACAAACAATATCGTCATTCACCTCAAAAGCTGACCAGAGCTTTAAATAGACTTATTCAGGAGGGATATAGTTACGATATCATGTTCAAGTCATTAAATATTGCATTGTTTGGAATTAATATTGATTCACTAATAGGCTTTTTGCATCGGAAATAAACATTTTTATTCTAAAATCAGCTGTTGGTATGATACTGGTTATGTTCTTCTCGAATGATTTATGAAGGCATGATACTAAACCGCTAACGGGAGGGATTGTGCTTGATTTTCATATGATGAAGACATGATCTTTTGGTCAGTTTAATTGAGATCTAGAGCTGACATGTCAGTAACTGCTTGTAGTCCTTTGTTATCTTTTGTTGATCATTGTCAGTTTGCTTAGTTTCTTCTGTTACCTATTTTAACATTGGATTGAAACTTCTTTTATACAGAGGTTTACTGTGCGTATTATTGTGTGTTTGTTTGTTCGAATTGGCTAGGGGTGGGTGGGAGGGTTAAGATCTCACAAAACGTGTTTAACCGGCCTCGTTTTTGCGCCTGTCCCTAGTCTGGAACCTCTAGTCTTTGGTAGTTGCTAACAATTTTGTTAGAAATCAACTTTTGCGATTAAATCAGTGTTTATATTGAACAGATTGAAAATATATTATTGATATTGAATAAATACAACTTCACATGCAGTTTTGAGAGTTGATGCATGTATTTTCATCCACTTAGAAGATAATATTTTACTCAGGTAAATTAATCAATGAGTAATGGATTTCTCTTAGAAGAAATTTAAAGGTCCCAGTGAATGAACTACACAGAGAACAATAGCTATTGTATTTATTTAATGGGACAATGGAACTGACAAAATTTTAAATACCTTGACCAAGAGGAGATGACTTTATGGAAATAATTTATTTGGTTGGCAATAATTCCACACATAATTAACTAAGCAGAATAACACATTTAGAACATAAGCGTCTGTTCTTTTCTTAAAAAATTATGCATAAATGATCATGAATGAAAGTGAAATATATGAATATGAAAACGTGCCTTTTTTCTTCCAAAAGGTTTAGTATTATTGAGCCTCGCTATACAGTTTAATGGTATTTGCAATATTTCAACCTTTTTCTACTGTACACACGAACACGGGATCGTTCTCGATGATAGGAAACATCTATATTTGAGGCATATTTTATTTTATGACAGGGTACATTATATATGAAACTGTGTTCGACCAGTTTTGTCGAGGGGAGGAAGTGATATACACGAAATGGTAGCAAAGTTTTGTACCAAAAACTTTACTGTACAATCGAATTATAGTGTACTGCAATAAAAATAGCAATGCACAGTTTGTATATCTACATATCATATAATGTTTTTGTATCTGTTTGTTGCTGTCATCTAAATACCCCATTCTCCATAAAATTTAGACCTATTTCATTGTTTTCCTATTGACTCCGTCGTGTTGCATGTATACCTATTTATTCGATCAAACCACGTGTATCGTTAAATATAAAAACAAGAAGATGTGGTATGATATCAGACTGAGCAGATAAAATCCGATGATGTTACCGTGGGTCAAGAATGTTATTATATATGTTTTATAACGAAACATGTATACCAAAAAGGAAGGCATGAAGTTTGACATGTACATGTATGAATTTAGGTTAGGACTCACCAATCAGCAAATGAAATAATTGATGACGAGGTTACAAACTTCAACATACGTGTAATGTTGAGTCAATTAAAACGTTCTGATAAAAACTAGATGTGTGATGTAACAATGAACATTTAAGCATGTCGTTTGAGCTTTCGCTATTCCTTGCTTCAGTATATATCAAGGAATAAAAAGTTCACGTTTCATTTCTTTCCAGACATTAAAACCAGAGATAAAGTCGATGCACATTTCATCAGATATCTACTTTAGATTTGCTACAACAGTAGTGGAGACCAAAATCCTCAACGTAAATCAAGAAGCATCAGAGATAATGTTTGATATGACTCTACCAGATTCAGCTTTTATAACAGGCTTTACAATGTAAGACCATAATGTTTCACTGTAATTATTGATTACCTTAGATAGGAATGTAAATGAATGATCCATTGTTATCCTAAGAAAAGTACACAGTATTATGACAATTATTACATTTATGCACCGAAATGTATTATATACGATATAATCTCAAAGCGTTTCTCCTTAAAAACTTATTATCAGTTTAAAGTAGTTTTGAGACAGAACATATATCCCATAACGGTCAATCGATCAATCAAAAGATGATAACATCCTTAAAACTTTCGAAGAGATGAATTAAACAGAAATCCTGTTTCACTAAAATTATAATAAGAAACAGCACGTCACTAAAAATAGAGGAATAATGAAATAATATATTTTTGCGAAAAAATCATAATTCCAAAAGCCGCACCAACCTGTCGACTACCGATATTTATCTACTAGACACGATGATATAACAAAATCTAGATTAATGTGTACAGCATGAATAACTCACAACTAACGCTTTCATCTTTAACGATTGAACATTTCGTCATTGAAACATTGGGATATTAAATCATTTCAATATTAACAGGTATCAAGTAATAAGACGATATGTTAAATACTAAAGGTCTTTTGTGCCGTATCAAAAAATTGCTCTTACGTTTGATGGCATTTCCGGAGTTTCTGGTACCGTGAGACTTCAAAACATAGAAAACATTGAAATGGCTGACCCGGACGTGAAAATCTCGTAATGCATATACCATTTCTGTCCTTACTTAGTTTTCTTCGAATAAGTGTTTTGTCATTCGACGACTACCCGGCTATCACACAAACCGAAGCTTTATTTAATTAGCCCTCCAATTTTAGAGACGTACTGATACTTATTCTAATTTCATCGATTCAAGGTTTTTGCTAATGTCATCTGTGCAATTTATAACTATTAATACGTTCCTGATATTGTTTCTCACTTTCCTTTTTTATAAGTTCGCCGAATGCTACAGATTATAATATTCTCACCCGATATTTCAAATGGATAAAAATGACAGCTCCAAAAATCGTGGAGCATAAAATGTTAACTCGTCTGGAGTGCATAAGTTCAACCAATTTAAAGTTACGTTTTTTATTGAATAATATTTGAATTTTCCTCTATATTCGTCGACTATTGTGTTGTCTGGCGTTATTAAGATATATCTTTTGAATTTCCTCTTAATGTTAAGCTTATTATCTGAAAGGAATAGATAAGGTATGTCGTGCTAAATATTTGAGGCATTTAATTACTGGTTAACAACAAAAAAGATATACATGTAATCTATCATATACTAGAACAAGCTATGTATGACATAAAATGTAAAATAACTAATTACACTATTGAAAAATGATGCAATAATTCCTTATTGGTTCATGGTCGATTATATATCATAAAAATCAATCATGTATGATACCTCAATTAAATTTTCCATAAGTCAATACAAAGTAAGTTGGTTGACACATAAAATAATTCCTAAGAATATTTGATTTATTGTTTTGTAATAAAATTAAATATTATTCAAACTGTTGCATGTGTCTGCAACATGAAAACTCTAATTTGTACCTCACAAACACTTACAAAAACTATGTTACGCAGGGAAATAGCAGGCAAACGATATGCTGGTGATGTCAAAGAAAAGGAGAAAGCAAAGAGACAGTTTGAAGAAGCAAAGAGTCGTGGAGAAAGTGCTGGTCACATTGCTGCGTCGTACGTAAACCTTATGATTTGAAAACATTATAATTTGATATACCCGGGAGCCTAATTCTTAACAGTATGGCAACAAGAGTAATATAACAAGCACTTTGATGAATCATTTCTTGCATTTGTATACCTTTATCTGTTAAACGAAAATTCTTGTAATGAATAGAAATGCATGGACGTTAGCAGAAAACCTTTTTTTTTAAATTCATTTAACAAACTATGAAAATATTTTAACAGCCCAAGAACTTCAAACAAGTTTAACGCTAATTGTAAATGTGGAGAAGAATGCATCGGTTGTTTTCAAACTGAAATACCAAGAATTGCTGAGACGAAACCTTGGATCATACCATCACGTGATTTATGTAGATCCTGGTCAAATAGTGGAAGACTTTAGAATAAAAGTTTTCATTAGTGAATCCAGAGAAATAATTGATCTAACAATACCACCACTTGAAGGCAAAACAAAGTTTGGTAAGAATATTTTCATAATTAAACCAGTAATTAATAGGAAATGGTTCAAGTCCAACATGATTTCATATACTATCTAAGTGACTTCCGGCTTTAAAAAAACATAAAACAACTGCATATTGCTTGAAATGCTCTTCAGGAATTAAAAGTTTTGGAATAAGAGTTGATAAATTGCAGCCTCTAGGCACTAACTATTGCACGAAACCAATATACAACGACAACGAAAAATGTAAAGTCCCGATGGTAATAAATTAAACATCACAAATAATAAACGACTCATACCACATCTTCTTATATCTATTTTTGAAATTGAATTTTATAAAGATATGAATGCAAACAATATGAACTCAAAAATAATAAATGGAAGTGGGTTGTTCTATGAAATTACAATAGAGCAAAATAATCATCTGCATTAATATTTGTAAATATAGATAGCTTTCACTTTGTACCTATGATTGTTACAGCTTAAATACAGAAACAGCTTTCAAAAACCTTGAATTATGACTGCTTATGTCATCAACGACATCAATCGGCAATTATTCAGGATATCATTGATCTTTGAATCTGGTAATGGAATAAAAAAATTCCGGTTTACAAGATCCATATATGTGAAAAAATTCAATTACAAGTAGAGCCGAATTTGAATAAACATTTTTATTTTGAAGTATTTTAAATTGCACGTTATAAAATTTTAAAAACACATTTAAAATGCAAGATTAATAAATAATAATAGGTATTCTAGATATTGAAATCTCCTTTCATCAAAAGTTTGAATAAGGTTTTTAACTTCTCTTATTGTATTTATACTATGTAAAAGGTTTAAATTATAGATCCGTTGTTTTCTGCTGAAATTTACAATCTTCATATGAAAACGGCAAGTATCATACATAGACGACGTAAAGATATTTCTATTTTAATGTCTATCAAAAATCAAAATCGTTTTTTTTCTTTCTAAATTCACTCACATATAACAGCCTAAATGATACGTACGAAATGGCCTTGTGTTTAAACATTTTTGTAAAAGAATGACATATTTACCTACATATACAACATTTTTTGAACAGGTGAGAAGTATTTATTTCTAAAACATCTCATTAATAACAAGAATAATAAAGAAAGAAGAAGTTATTTTCTTGGGTCGTAAACATGTGCCTTGTAGTTTGAATCTTATAAATCTATACATTTATAGCTGTCTACATGTAACATACATAATTTATCTCCAAATCGCCAATGTCTACTCTGCGCTTGCATTGTAATTTTGTAAAACAATTCTGATTTCAAAGGGAATTTATTGTTGATATCTTTTAAACATAAAACTTCCTCTTGTGAATTATTGGAAAAGGCATGCTGAAAGGACATAGATATATGAAAGTGGTGGATAAACATTCCAGACAGCTAAACATGCAATAAAATGTCTCTTAATCAATAATCTAGGAATATATGTATCTGTGATATAACAAAAAAATATGATGCCTTGGGTACACACAGAAAATAGTGTTATACATAAATATCCAATGCATGCTTATTAAAGACTAAGTAATAATATAAAAAAGATAAAACTTATAAATCATGATAGCTCTTCTGTTTTAGAAATTGGTAAATTTGTTAACATTAAACACACTTCACCAAAGAGAATAGATATAACATACGCCCCAAGTGTTCAGGACCAGAAAGCAATGTCACAAGACGGTATATCTGGACAGTTCAAAGTGAAGTATGAGGTTTCAAGGGATAAAGATGCTGGAGATATATTGGTATGATTCTTATTGCTTTAGAATCGGAATAGTATAGTTTTGGTTGTTTTACAAGTTGATAAACATGACTTGAATAGTGCTATATATATATTTTTTTTATGTACAATAATCAAATGGTTCAGAATGCATGTGAAACTTTGCCCGATAAGCAAACGAAAGTATATTTTAATTGAAATCGATAACAGATAGCGATCAGCCAGCAACAACACCATACTGACCTCGAAATGTTATGTAACAGCTTTATTTTACCAATTAAATTACTTGCCATACTGCGTCTGGAAAAATATAAAAACAACTAATCACTTCTTTATCCAAGATATAGCCATGTTTATTTTTAAATGATCTGCAATTTTAATTGCTTTTTTGTGGGTAAAAATTTCAAACCATCCACGGTAGACTTGCGTCGCCTTCTGTATGTAAAAATCAGTTGGAACGGGTTTGACACATCAGATCGACAGCTAGCACATACAGACATTAACACAATATACCGATCTAATAGTACTAACAGTTACACGAAACTAGTTTAAAGCTAAACACAACAGATAAATAAATCATGATCTATAAGACTAAAATGTACACATCTTACGGATTTAATATGAAGACGTTATAAACATGTCTTTTTTGGTGAATAATGTTGTTGAAAAAGTATGTCATTGACATTTGCATTGCATATACATTTTTGTCCGTTTGTGTGCATCATTCAACCAGTTATTGGTTCAAATATTCAGTATAATATTTTCTCCATCTTTTGTGTTTGACGATTTACTGTCATATTTTTATCTACAAAAATAATAAATAAAAAACATCTAACCATTGAATGACTTTAAAAATATAAATCGAAAAGTAAATCAAACAGAGTCTGAAAGTCATATAGTATTTTTTAACGATTATTTTTTATAGATAGTGAATGGCTATTTTGTTCATTTGTTTGCTCCAAGAGATATTAAACCACTTCCAAAAGACGTAATGTTTGTGTTAGACAGAAGTGGGAGTATGTATGGTCGAAAAATAAAGCAACTCAAAGAGGCAATGAAGCTAATCATAGAGGATATGAAACCAGAAGACAGATTAAATATTTTGTTTTTTGACAACAAATTTGATTGGTTAAGCAAAACCGAAATGCTAGAAGGAACAAAAGTTAATTTTGATAAGGCAAACAGATTTATAGACCCTATTACTGCTAGGGGAGGTAAGATATGATAATTTTTCTTCTCAAAGGGACATTACAGTTTTCGATATTTCATTTTTTCCTAATTTCATGATAAGTTTTTAGGTCAAAGACTAAATAACGAGATCAAATATTGCCGGATTTCATCAAATATCTGCAAAAGCCTCAATGTGAACAAACTTAATTCATTTGTACGTGAAACGCATGACAAACACAAAATTTTTATTTTTCTTACAGCTCACAATTTGAAAACAAGAGCTTCTACAGTTTTTTCTCAAACCAGAGATTTAAAACTTGTTCAATGCTATCTTAACTTTTATTCACAAAATAGTTTCGTTAGCTAGGATATGTCGAAGAATATGGCCCCCTTTTGTCAGTAGTTGAAGGCAAATAACAGATTAAAGACACACAAAGTTTGGTGGTGTGTCATTTGTTACAAAGAATATATAACCTCTTATAAGGAATGCACCATTTGGAGCTTTGGGACCTCAATGCTTTTCCACTTCGTACTTTTTTTTGGTCTTTTTACTTTTTTTATTCGAGCGTCACTGATGAGTCGTTTGTAGACGAAACGCTCATTTCGCGTACACATTTATAAGCTTTGTATCATTGATGATTTTTCTTTTAAATAATTATTAAAAGGAATTTAATGGAATGCGTGCAGTCTTTAGATACACAGGCAGGGATATTTTCATGAAATTACGTTTTCTTTACATGAACAAACATAGATTCACTTTTTCATTCAGAGAAGATACTTATTGTACATTGATTTTTTTATTGTCGTATGTACAGTGTTTGTCTCCCGAGGAGATTCAACCAGTAAACAGTCGTCTAGGATATACACTTGGGAAAAACACCTTTCGCCATAAACTGTTGAAATGTGATGTTTGCTTGTATAACGGCCAGTTGAGAGCTTTACCTTGCTAATGTCGTCTGGCATGTACATGTATATTCATTTGGTTCTTTGCAGTCCAAAAAGGCGTAATGAAAGTGAGTGTCCTTTTCTTCTTGGTTCACTCCAGCGCGAACTATTATACAAGATAAGCATAATATCAAACGAAGTCAAAATCCCCTATGTACGAGTTCTATCTCCTAATTGTTTCGTTGAAAACTGTAAAATAACATGAGAAAAGCAACCATCATGAAATTGTTTTCCATCTAAATGAAATTTTTAGAAAATTGAGTAGGTTCATTTCAAGTGCAATAAATTATTTATATTATCAATAAAAAAATAAGGAATACAATCCTTTTAGACATTATCCTTTTGCAATAGACAATTTGTTTTTCGATAAACCGCAAGATTATTTATTTCATAATACAAGTGTTGAATCAGTTTTTTTATGAACAATTTAATGATGTTTAAAAACATTAATTAGACGACCTGTTAATGAAACAGCTTATAAAGAATGGAAAACACAATTAGATGTGCGAAGATATACCGTGACGTCAATCGTTTTAAAGAATTGATACGACATTCAAGCTGTAAATCGCTAAACGCTGGACAGATTGTGAAGTCTCGAGTATAACGGGAATACTTACTATATCATGTGTATTTTAACAAAATTAAATTCATAACAATAAAGAGGGTGGTATAACATCCATCAGACAAACAGCGAAGAAGATTTTGTTTTGAAACAGGTATTTTTTTGAGTTCTTAACTATCTTTTCTATATTTGTGTACATGAGGACATTTTTGAAATGTACTATTTCACAGAATGCTTGCAGCCCTATATTTACTAAAACTAGGACTTAACCAGCCGCTGAACCCTTGACTAAAACAGAAAAATCCAACTTTCATTTTTAAACTTTTATGTACGAATTTAATTTCAAGGCCTCATCTTCATGTAACCTCTAAGAATATATAATTTCCAATTGACGTTCGCCCTATGCGTCTGATAATCTGAAGAAGGGTCACTTTCCTCTCTATACATTTCATGAACGGGAACATTTTGAGAGATAATTTGAATCTTCATAGAGCATCATAACTTCATATGTAATGTTAGGTTACAATAAGATTATGTCATATTCTAAACATAATCAAAATGTAAACGCTTAAGCGTATATTGCCAAAAGATGGTCCCAAACCGAAATTTACTTTTAAATTCCTAAAACTTGCATAGAAATAAACAGCGACATCGAAAATAAAACACAATTATATTGAGTGTTTATTTATGTATCGTATGTCTTCCAATAAAATTCTATTCATTTTGCTAAAAGATGAACAATTTAAAAAAAAAATTATCTCCGTCAGCAAATTTTACAAATAAAGGTTGATTATTTTAATGACAATATATTATCGCTGAAATTTTTAAATCTGTAAGTGTATTCCGAGCATATTTCCGAATTTAAAAAATGATATATTTTTTTTTATCTTACTGTCCGAATTCAATTATTTTAATGAACCAAATACAGATTGAGATCCCACATTGACTATATTATAAGATTTTCAGAACGGGATCCGTAAAAAATCTTTCCTATGCGATTTGTGACTAAATATGCTATACAAAAACGTAAGTTTTTCTTTCTAATATTATACAAGACTTTTAATTTACATTGCAGGGACAAACATCAACTCCGCAGTAACAGATGGAATAAAATTATTAACGAAACACTTGGATACTAACAAATCTTCTATAGTAATGTTTCTAACAGATGGACGTCCAACTTCAGGAGAGGTTCAACGGAGTAATATTTTGAAAAATGTAAAAACAGAAAATGAAGCCAGACTATCCATTTTTAGCTTAGGTTTCGGTAACAATGTGGATTTCAACTTTCTTAAACAGATGTCTGCACAAAATAATGGATTTTCACGGCGAATATATGAAGATTCGGATGCCTCATTGCAGATAAAGGGATTGTATTCCGAAATTTCATCCGCTCTTTTAAAAATTGTCACTTTTAACTATGTTGGTGACATTGACATGAACACACTTACACAAACCCTTTATCCATCGTACTTTAGGGGATCGGAGTTAATAGTTGCTGGACAAATAAAATCGAATGGTTCTAACGTCGTACCCCGGGTCAGAGGTTGGAACAATGGATACATAGATTTAATATGGAAACCGAGACCAGTTCCAGACCTGAAAGCAATTACCACTGATACTGATTTAGCAAAAATAACGGAAAAAATGTGGGCATATCTAACAATAAAACAGTTGCTAAGAGATATCGAGAGTGATATAACGACCACTAAGAAGGACGTAATTAAAGCTAAGATCATATCCTTGGCAACAAAGGTATGTTTTCTTTTATGTTTCGTTTAACGTTCTTAAAAGTTCAATGTATTGATATAAACAGGTACTGACTAAACTACCGAACTTCAAGGTAAATTGAAAAAAGGGGGAAAACCTGACAACATTAAACGCTCGACTATATCAACCAAATTAACGAATAGAAAACATCTGTCAAGTTCATGACTCGGTACAGGGCTTTCAAAAGAAAATTGTGGGTTAAACCTGGTTTTATAGCTAAAGCTCCAACGTGTATGACAGTTGTTCACAGTTCCGTAATATTGACAAAATTGGGTGACAACCCAGTCATAATTGGTGAACGGGACAATATTTGAGATACAGCCAAAACTGTGTAAACATACATTACATACATCCAACACAACTGACTTAAACATACATATATATCTAATAAAGAAGTCACTAATAAAACGTGTTTGTAGTTGATAGTATATACAGTAAAGTTAACGTAATGACATATACAGGGAAAACTGTAAAGTAAATAAGATAAATATTATTAAAGCGTACATCAAGTATGATTACAACACAATGACATCTAAAGGGTTCGTCCTTTTTAGTTTGAAACGCAAAAGTATTGATTCACAATTCATTTTTTGTTATATAATGTTTCGTTGTTTATGAATATCATTTTTAAAATAGCTACACTACGTCAAATGTAGCATCATAATCTTTAGCTTATATGTTTTAAAGATAAACAGGTATTTGGTTTAAAATACACATAAAATGACACACAAATTTGTCCTTTTAGTACCAGTTTGTCACACCCTTCACATCTATGGTAGTAACTGCGCCTCAGCTCCGTCAACCTAGACAGTCCAGCAGCCAAGGTGAGTAGATAATTAGAAAATATTACGGCAATTAACACTAGAAGAAATTAATTGAAGAATTGAAAAATGAATAACACATTGAACACTTTTCTGCTTATTGAATCAAATTTTAAATTTTATTCAAGTGTTTCGCTATTTTTTGTCATAGATCTTTCATTCATATGATTATTTATATATGTGCATATGAAGTATAGTTTTTGAGCTTTAGTTTTAAGAAGAATTGTAAAACTGTTGTTTTCAACAAAAGTGGTTGCTTATGGATACGCTTTAGCTTTCTTTAAAGAATGACATTGAAATTTAGCAACAGCTCAGTTTTACTTTCAAACAGCAAATTTTCGTAATATAAAATTGAAATAGAATAAATACCACATAAAAATCCTTACTGTTTATTAAATCTGATTTATAGAGGACTTTAGTTTCTAGTGTTTTGTATATTCCCGTCACCTGGCCAAATTGTTAACACGTGTTTCGAAGAGCAAACGTTAAAGGTGCTCACAATAAAGTAGAAGGTATGACAAGTGCTTTGAAAGGGTAAGCATTTTGCATGCCATACTTACACATCCTAATGTTAACAAATTCTACCAAATAGTATGAGGTATTTATGAAAATAAGTCATCTATAATTTTTCAGGAATGTATCTGCTTCATTCGGAGCTTTTATTCCGGGTCCGACATTGGTTATATTTTATGCCCCTTATCGCGATCGGCAATATCGGCTCTTTAAATTTTGTAGTAGGTTTTTATTTTCATATATTTTTCCCTCGAGCTTCATTGAACAATAATTATTTGATAAAATGCGTATCTGGTGAAGTAAAATTTGTATTGCTGATGTTGCATCTTTTTTTAAATGTAACACACTCACCTGATACCAACCTTTTCGTGATTGCAATTGTTAAACTAAAGTGATGATGCGAGTTAAGGCTTCATATAAAGTTTTGGTGATACAAAAACTTTCATTGAAAAATCGTGTTTCATTTCACTACATTTCAACAAGAAATGTTCAAAATAGGCGAACTACAATAAATGTATGTCTTAAAGAAACCCGATCAAAACGTTTACATTTCATGTGAGAATTGTCTATGGGTAATGATACAGATCAAAATTAACACAAATACACTGATTTTGATATTTATTTTTTCCACAGCCCATGACATTGGTTCTCATGGTTTCCGTAGTCGTTCTCATAGACCTCGTCTGGGAATGGGGTCTACACGGCAGTCTTTAAGTATAAAACCAGATCCTGTAAAAGGTATTTATTTGGTTAATTTTAAGTTGAAAACACATACATTGTGTATTATATTCCTAATTACTCTAAATATCAGAACAACAATGTTGAATCTATATATATCTTTTTATTACCTTACTGTTTATTAAATCTGATTCGTAGAGGACTTTAGTTTCTAGTGTTTTGTATATTCCCGTCACCTGGCCAAATTGTAAACACGTGTTTCGAAGAACAAAGTTAAAGGTGCTCACAATAAAGTAGAAGGTATGACAAGTGCGCTGAAAGGGTAAGCATTTTGCATGCCATACTTGCACTACCTTGTGTTAACAAATTATACCAAATAGCATGAGGTACTTATAAAAATAAGTCATCTATAATTTTTCAGGAATGTATCTGCTTCATTCGGAGCTTTTATTCCGGGTCCGACATTGGTTATACTTTATGCCCCTTATCGCGATCGGCAATATCGGCTCTTTAAATTTTGTAGTAGGTTTTTATTTTCATATATTTTTCCCTCGAGCTTCATTGAACAATACGCATTATTTGATAAAATGCGTATCTTGTGAAGTAAAATTTGTATTGCTGATGTTGTTTCTTTTTTAAATGTAACACACTCACCTGATACCAACCTTTTCGTGATTACAATTGTTAAACTAAAGTGATGATGCGAGTTTAGGCTTCATATAAAGTTTTGGTGATACAAAAACTTTCATTGAAAAATCGTGATTCATTTCACTACATTTTAACAAGAAATGTTCAAAATAGGCGAATTACAATAAATGTATGTCTTTAAGAAACCCGATCAAAACGTTTACATTTCATGTGAGAATTGTCTATAAGTAGTGATACAGATTAAAATTAACACTAATACGTTGATTTTGATATTTATTTTTTCCACAGCCCAAAGCATTGTTGTTACTCATGGTTTCCGTAGTCGTTCTCATAGACGTCTGGGGATGGGGTCTAGACGGCAGTTTTCTTTAAGTGGGGGATTTAGCGGAAGAAGTTTGAGAGCAGATCGTTTAGGTATTTATTTGGTTAATTTTTCTTTCTATTGTTATGTGTAAACGTGTTTAAAGGCCTAAAATATTCATTAAAAATTCTTTTTCGAAAACAGAAATTTTTTTTATCAATACTTTCGATATTCTCGGTTTAAATATATCAAGGGCGTTTGATAATTCAAGACAAACACGAAATTTCAGATACATATATATTTATATAGGGCGCTGGACATGAGGCTGTAGTGTATCAAAGGTGTGAGTTCAAATCCCGCTAAGGGACAAACATTTGTCAGCATAAAAATTTAATTCTAACACTGTTGGGTTTAATTTTCAGACTTATATGTATACCTCTACCAAGAAATTTCCTTTGCATGCACACGTATAAAAATTGCGGTTTTTATCCAACGCAATCATAGATTTGAACGTTGTTTTTAATTTAGACTTGTTTATATATATATGGTCTAGCGCGTCGGGCATAGTGCAAGACGATTTGGTGCCACGATATCTCAGTAGCATGAGTTCGAATCCCGGCCAGGGAAGAACAAAAAATTCACTTCCGCAAATTTACAGATCTAACCTTGTTGGGCTGTTGTTCAGACGAACTATATATACAGACTGTATTTTCAGACTTGTATCACCATCACTGCTGGTGATCCGATGGATAAAATCTGTTGTAGAGTCGTCACTGGTTCAGACGTATTTTTAATATAATTATTTCTATGACAGCATCTTACATTAATTTGTAAGATCCTTTACAACAGATAATTCAGCTGATCTGTAACAATTCCATCTTCATGCCTTATATATCATGTACTGTGTTACGACGCTAGATAAAAAATGACGAGGAAAGGTAACACCCGGTCACCGAAAGCTTTATTATTATAGAGCCTAGGTGGTCGACTGGTCTAACGCTACGGGCATAGTGCAAGGCGATTTGGTGCCACGGTATCTTAGTAGCATGAGTTCGAATCCCGGCCAGGGAAGAACAAAAAATTTGCTTCCGCAAATTTACAGATCTAACATTGTTGGGCTGTTGTTTAGACGAACTATATATAGAATGTATTTTCAGAATTGTATCACCATCACTGCTGGTGATCCGATGGATAAAATATGTTGTAGAGTCGTCACTGGTTCAGACGTACTTATAATATAATTTTTTCTGTGACTGCATCTTACATTAATTTGTAGGATCCTTTACAATAGATAATTCAGCTGATCTGTAACAATTTCATCTTCATGCCTTATATATCATGTACTGTGTTACGACACTAGATAAAAACTGAAAACTAAATTCAACATCAGACTTAACAATCACCGGTCTTTTCATACAAAAGGAAGAAACTGTCCAATTAAGAGACACCTCTTAAGAACAGGGCATACTTTTGAAAATATCACCTTTCAAATAATTGAGGTGAACCAAAATTGGGACTCCCAAAGGAGAAAACAGAGAGAAAGGTTCTGGATGCATCGACTACGTACTCTTGAACCTGATGGACTTAATGAGAGAGATGAAAAACAGTTCTACCCACAAAGGAATAAATCCTGAACTTCATTCTATTTAACTAAAACAACTATTTGTTTTGATTTAAGAATTGCTTTGTACAATAAGCGGCAAAAATATTTTTCTAGACATTTAACATTGAGCTGCAAAAATTTCTTTACAGCCTCTAATTTTTACCTGGTTGGCTGCACGCGCCTGATGAAGCTAATTTGTTTAGCGAAATATTGCGTGAATAATATAAAATATAACTACTAATTTTATAACACTCATTAGTGTGTTAAAGTTACATTCTTAGGCACTTATATAATTTAATGTAGTAACTGCATCAGTTTATTTACAAACTGATCCACGCCTAGATAGATTGAATGTTGATTGGTGCTATTTTTAGACACTATATATATATAAGTCTAAATTGAAAACAACGTTCAAACCTATGAATGCATTGGATAAAAACCACAATTATTATTGATTATTTGACAAGAACCTTTGTATGAAAGAAGCATGAATAGGGTTGCATTATACCAACTTTTTAAAAATTTGTATTTATTGATAATATTTTTGCCATCGCCCATCAAAACATAATAGTAACTTGAATTGCCAGTCGGAAATTATCAAGTAAGCACCAATACAATGTTTGGTTTTTTTTTAAGCTTCGAAATTATTACCACCAACAGATACCACCTTTGACATCTCCGCTGTCTCTAAAGGAACGGTCTTAATTCCAGGTACCTGTTTTATCATTGTCATGCAACATACAATTTTATTATTTCTTGGCTATGCAAAATTTTAGTGAAATCTATATATGAGGTAGCATTAAAAAGGTAATATTTACGTATAAACAGAAAAACTTTCAAATTGATTCCGCTGACTAGATCCGGGTTGCACAAATATCGCCCTCTGTATTTACAATCGACTGAATAAAATCACATGACAGGGTACGATTTTTAGTTATGTTTGGTTCAGTCGAAAAATTATATACATCCACAGTTACAGCACTTCGATTCAATCTACTCAAATTTTCGAAACAAAAATCATCTGATATGTCTGGAAAGTTACTCAAAAAAAATCAGCAAATGTTTGAACTGAACTGAATCTAGAACAAAAACATATCTTAAACAATTAACTCTAAACAAGACTTAACTTTTTTGGGTTCAGACTTTTTAGATGATTCTAAGATCAAAACAACCGGTCAGTACAAGAATCTGTGTATGAAAGAAGCATGAAAAGGGTTGCACTATACCATCTTTCTAAAATTTTATTTATTGATCATAAGTTTTGCCATTGCCCATCAAAACATAATAGTAACTTGAATTACCAGTCGGAAATTATCATGTAAGCACCAATACAGTGTTTGTTTTTTGCAGGTTCGAAATTAATACCAACATCAGATACCACCCTTGACGTCTCCACTATCTCTAAAGGAACGGTCTTAATTCCAGGTACCTGTTTTATCATTGTCATGCAACACTCAATTTGTTTAATTCTTGTCTATGAAAAATTTCAGTGAAATCTATATATGAGGTAGCATTAAAACGTTAATATCTACGTATAAACAGTAAAATTTTCAAATTGATTAAGCTGACTAGATCCGGGATGCACACATAATCGTCCTCTGTATTAACAATCGACTAAATTAAATCACATGACAGGTAACTTTCTAGTTATATTTGTTTCAGTCGAAATATTATATACATCCACAGTAACAGCACTTTGATTCAATCTACTCAAATTTGCGAACCAAAAATCATCAGAAATGTCTGGAAAGTTACTCAAAAGTACTGGATTGACTGTCAGCAAATGCTTGAACTGTACTGAATCTATAATAAGAAGATATCTTAAAAAAATAACTCTAAACAAGACTTAACGTTTTTAGGTTCAGACTTTGTAGATGATATCAAAATCAAAATAACCGTTTGAGTAAATATCGGTTTTAAGAAAGGATATTACAAGTAATAATTTAAGACCTAACAAGAATTTAAAGTCTTACGAAGGGTCATTATTTCTGCTACAATTTCAAAAATGAGGCTACATTTTTATAGTTTTTGCTTCAAACGCCATTGGATACATGCACAAAAATGAACCACCGTAAGTTTTTGTTACGAGGAATTTCTCATCCATTGTTTGATAACACGTTTATTCTAATCGAAACTCAAAAAGAAGCGAGTCCAGGTGTGTCGACATTGTAAGTGTTTCATGCTATGCATGCATCACAGGTCATGCGAATCCACACTCATTTAAAATGTAACAATCTTGAATAGGAAACAATCGGTTTAATTACAGAATAAATTACTACAATTATTCTATTCCAGCATATTAGCAAAGTTTCCTATACATTGGTCAAATATTTTTGATTATTTGACAAGAACCTGTGTAAAAAAGAAGCATGAAAGGGTTGCAATATACCAACTTTTTAAAAATTTATTTATTAATCATAAGTTTTGCCATGGCCCATCAAAACATTATAGTTACTAGAATTGCCAGTCGGTAATTATCATGTAAGCACCAATTAAATATTTTTGTTTTATTGCAGCTTCTACACTAAGACCAACAACAGATAGCACCCTTGATGTTTCCACTGTCTCTAAAGGAACGGTCTTAATTCCAGGTACCTGTTTTATTATTGTCATTCAAGATACAATTTGTTTAATTCTTGTCTAGTATGCAAAATGTCAGTGAAATCTATATATGAGGTAGCATTAAAAAAGGTAATATCTACGTATAAACAGTAAAATTTTCAAATTGATTCCGCTGACTAGACCCGGGATGCACAAATATCGTCCTCTGTATTTACAATCGACTGAATCAAATTACATGACAGGGTACGATTTCTCGTTACATTTGTTTCAGTCGAAATATTATATGCATCCACAGTAACAGCACCTCGATTGAATCTACTAAAATTTTCGAAACAAAAATCATCTGAAATGTCTGGAAAATTACTCAAAAGTACTGGATTGACTATCCGCAAATGTTTGAACTGAACTGAATCTAGAACAAGAACATATCTTAAAAAAAGAACTCTAAACATGACATAACGTTTTAAGGTTCAGACTTTTTAAATGATTTTAAGATCAAAATAACCGTTTAAGACTAAAATTCATTTGCTACAAACAAAACATGTACCTGTATGTAATTTTGATTTGTATATAGTTACATTAAAGTGTGTATCAAATTTCTCACTAATGTCACTTTTAAATAAGGACGGACGCTGGATACTGCCATTACTGTGGTATCATAAAAACCACACTTATATTTGCCTACACTAACAGAATATTCTTTATTTGCTCCAAGAAGTCAAATGCAAGCTATATAACAAGTTAATATGATCTTTGGGACTCTTTTTTGCTGCTCCAACTGGATACATTGGTAGACAAAGTACTTCCTTTAACATCGTCCATTGGTAGTTTTACTGTCGCAAATTGAGTTTACCTGGCGACACTTAACGTGCGGAAAGGTTCAAATACAATACTTATCTCTATTTTAATGAAGAAAAAAACAAATCATTTAATTTTAGTCATTATCTCGGTGTAAAATTTTCATTAAACAAAAATTCCCATAAGGATGTTATCTTCTTTGGCACCTAAATCAGGTGACGTCATAGGTATGTTTCCAGAGTCAATCGTAAACACCGGGCATTTTCCGCCTCTGAATGTTATAAAAAATTTGAATTCTAGGTGCAAAATATGAGTTTTTTGCTTATTATTGGAGACATTACATGGCAATACATTCTTGAATTTAAAATATCAGCTTCCTTAGTTACAGACAGGGAGATACAGCATTTTACGCTGATTGTCATCCAATGAAAACCATTGATACAAAATATTTGCATTAGAGTTATGAATATAGAAGTAGAGGGTGCATTGAAATAAAAACTATCCGTTACGTCAGTCAATGCTTTATTCACTGGAAATGAAGGCCTTGCGAATTAAATATTATGTATTTAGAGAATAGTAGTAATCAATGAACGACATCTTTGATTACAATGATTGATATCTTATGTGTAACAAGAGAAAAAAAGATAATTGCATCTTCAGTAGTATAAAGTATTATAAAAAAAATGTATATCGATTTCATTATACTCTATAAATATTGTCTAAGGTATTTCAATTGTTACTGAATTTTCAAGTGTAAATTAGTAAATATGTTCAACTTCATTGTGATCTTTTTGGATTGTATCACTTGATATCTGAGCACAAATATCGATATCAAAGGAGAATCATGATAAGGGTCAATCTAATATTGCCGACACGGTAGGCAAAATTGATTTTATAACCTACAGGACATGTGTATACCCTAAATACTGAAATATGCATTGTAGTCCTGTCATGTAATGTTGTCATTTTAATGTTATATTTAACATTGCCATAAAAGCGGGAGGTTTTGGCTAGCCACAAAACCAGGTTCAACCCACCATTTTTTTCGTAAACTGTCCTGTACCAAGTTAGGAACATGGCCATTGTTATATTATACAATGTAGTTCGTTTCTGTGTGTGTTACATTTTAATGTTGTGTTTCTGTTATGTCGTAGTTCTCCTCTTATATTTGATGTGTTTCCCTCAGTTTAAGTTTGTAACCCGGATTTGTTATTTTCTCAATCGATTATGAATTTCGAACAGCGGTATACTACTGTTTTATTTTGCATATTAGGAGAACAACATGTTTGAAATTGACTCAAAAGCCTTTTGTTATTACACCATAATTTGAATATGTTATGAGTTTGTTATCTGTGATTTTTTATCCTTTGTATTTAGATCAAAGAGCTCCTAATTTCTTCTTACATATGGAAGGATCAACAGCACCTCTCTGTATGAATTTAAATCCAAATGACACTGGCAGATATCAGTTCTTATACAGTCCAAGAAGTAAGATATTTTCAATATTTAAAAACAGTCAAATCTTATTTCACGTAAATTGGTATATGTGAAAAATCTACAGACCTAGCTATATTATCATACATTCGAGCGTAGTTAACGACGAAGAAAAAGAACATAATATTACTTAAAAATACAGATCGACAATTAAACAGATCTATATTTAAAATGTATCTTATTTGAATTTTTACATACGCTAGTGTCAATAATTGAATTTTCGGTAAATATAAGTTGAGCACAAAATCGATTAATTTTGACAGCTTGTTTGGTGTATGTGTGTAGTCAAATACAATATAGTTATGATCAATTCCTATGAAACTTCTAATTTTGATAGCTACATCAATTTTAAAAGACAAACACGTTATCTGCGGATGTGTATTTGTGAATGGTAAGTCAGGGTTTACATGTATGCTTTCAAAATTAAAGCTGTGGTCACACCTTAGCGGATAGCTCGAACGGACGCCGAACGGATGAAAAAAAGAGTTTTCCATTGACAAAATTTGTATCCGTTGGGTGTCCGTTGTTATACTGATCAAATAAAACGAACGGGTAACGAATGCCTAACGGACACTCACAGGATATGCAACGTACGAGAAACTGAAACGTACCGGACAGAACGGACGTTGAACGTACATCCAACGGACGAGTACCACATAAAACGGACACCTAACGGAAGCGTACCGGATAAAACGGATGAACAAGATAAGCGGAAAATTAAAAGTGATAATAATAATACATATCTTTCAGGACTAAGCACTGATCTTGCCCACCATCTCCTTTGTTTTCTCCTTCTTCTCCTTTCGACAACTAGAAGGTTTATATTTGCAACATTTAAGTTCAGTCGGACCTGAATAAGAGCTGCTTGATAGTGAAGACATGCTCTTACTCCAAGATGCATCATGAGTAATAGACGTTCATGACATTCAAGAAATCTGACATATCAATAATTGCAAATTCTGAGTGACGCGAAATTTTCAATTGGCATTAATCCATTTTACATTCGGTAGGTATCCGTTATCCTGCCGTTCATGTCCGTTTCCCATCCGTTCATCATCCGTTATACGTCCGGCAGAAGTCCGTTGGTGAATTTGTCTACCAGCGACTATTTTCACAAAAAAATCTTACGATTGAAATTGATCGTAAGTTATACTGAAATGTGTATGACTTACGAGTATTTTTACTCTTAAGATTTTTTGTGAAAAGAGCCGCAGACCTCTAACGGATGTATAACGGACAAGTAACGGATACAAAACGGAAACGAAACGGACGAGTACCGTACAAAACGGACGCCTACACTTCATCCGTTGGACGTCCGTTTAAAGTTTTGAACATGCTCAAAATTTTCCAACGGACAGAACGGACGTCGACGGATAAAACGGACGCTAAACGGATATGAAATGGATATGGACGGACGTCTAACGGTTAAGAACGGACGTCTAACGGACATGAACGGATTGAAAAAAAGTTATCCGTTCGGCATCCGTTCGAGCTATCCGTTAAGGTGTGAACGAGGCTTTACACACAGACACATGAAATGACGTCATTTTCACAAAGTGCTAAACAGTATTTCTTCTTAGCAGACAATATACAGAATGATCAATTTAAATGAGTTGGGAAATTGACCATGGTGAGATGGACAATATATGTATAAACTCCATAACTTAAACGTTTTTGAGAATAAAAATCTTTCAATAATCAAATGAAAATCAAGATATTTTAAAATATTGTGGTAATTTAAAGCTGAATACGTTTTTTTTTTTTTGGGGGGGGGGGGGGGGGGGGGATGGGAAGGGGGTTAATTTTTATTCAAATACATTTTATTTTCAATATCCTGTTAAAATTACCTTAGTAGCTCAGGAGAGCATACTTAAGGTACCTGTAATACATTCTCGCTCCTTTCCAGAGAAAACAAGCAAGATAAATGTCCAATTTACTTATAAAATTACATATTGTAGCTTTCTTATATCCAATTAACACGAAAGTCAAACACACTCACATAATACATTAATTCGATTACACCACATCTATATACAGTTATAAAATGTAATGCTCTAATTTTTATAAACGATGGAAATGTAGTTGGTAGACATCATCACCATATTTTTTAATCGAATGTATCGATACGTAAATAAAAAAATGTTAAAGTACACTTGACTTAGTTATTACATATCTGATCTAATAAGTGTACCACATCATTATTGATATATGGTTCTTTATTTTGTTAATGATTTAAAAACGATATTTTCTTTTAGTTCACAATAAAATTGTCTAATAACTGTATAAATATTACAAGTGATGTTTTCAAACTTTATTAGATTTCGAAATTTCGAAATTGCCCTTTTGGCTATGCATATTAGGATATTGCCAACTATAATTTCATTCAAAGGCCTGTCATAAAAACCGAGGATCATATTTCTCCCTTGTAGAATCAATTCATGGGTTAAGTGTACTTTTGTGAATATAGTTTTTAATTATATTATCAATTGGTAGATCTTTTACAGTTTTAAACAAGAGGCTCTCAAGAGCCTGAATCGTTCACCTGTATTTCAGAGGAGAAGATTTTTAAATGTTAGCAAAATTCATGAACAAATTGTGTAAAATTGTCTTTAAAGGGCAATAACTCCTTAAGGGGTCAATTGACAATTTTAGTCATATTAACTTTTTTGTAGATCTTACTTTGCTGAACATTATTGTTGCTTACAGTTTATATATATCTATAATAATATTCAAAATAATAACAAAAAACTTCAAAATTTTGTTAAAACAACCAATTCGGTGGCAGCAACCCAACAATGGGTTGTTCGATTCGTCTGAAAATTTCAGGGCCGATAGATCTTGACCATTTAAACAATTTTACTCCTGTCACATTTGCTCTAAAAGACTTAGTTTTTGAGATATAAGCCAAAAACTGCATTTGACCCTTATGTTCTATTTTTAGCCATGGCGGCCACGTTGTCGATGGATACAAAGTTCGGATACAATTTATAAACAAAATACCCTAAGGAACATTTAGTTAAAGTTTGAAGGTAATTGGCCCAGTAGTTTCAGAGGAGAAGATTTTTAAATGTTAGCAAACTTCATAAACAAATTGTGTAAAATTGTCTTTAAAGGGCAATAACTCCTTAAGGAGTCAATTGACAATTATGGTCATATAAAACTTTTTTGTAGATCTTACTTTGCTGAGCATTATTGCTGCTTACAGTTTATATATATCTATAATAATATTCAAAATAATAACAAAAAACTGCAAAATTTTGTTAAAACTACCAATTCGGTGGCAGCAACCCAACAATGGTTGTTCGATTCGTCTGAAAATTTCAGAGCTGATAGATCTTGACCAATTGAACATTTTTACCCCATGTCAGATTTGCTCTAAAAGCTTTAGTTTTTGAGATATAAGCCAAAAACTGCATTTGACCCCTATGTTCTATCTTTAGCCATGGCGGCCATGTTTGTCGATGGATCAAAACATCGGATACAATTTATAAACTAGATACCCTAAGGAACATTTATTTGAAGTTTGAAGGTATTTGGCCCAGTAGTTTCATAGGAGAAGATTTTTTAAATAGTTTACGACGACAGACGACAACAGACGACGACGACGACAGACGACGGACGACGACGGACGCCAAGTGATGGCATAAGCTCATATGGGGCCCTTCGGGCCCCGGTGAGCTAAAAAGGATGATTTGTGTTTCAAGGTGATTTTTGTAAAAATGGCAGTCACCTTGAACCAAAAAATGCTCAAATCGATGTAATCTAGATTCGGTGTAAATAATATTATGAATGGACTTCCAATCGAATTTACATATTAATGTAATTTTTAATTACCGATATTTCTTGGATTACCCCATACCGATTTCCAGTCAATACTTATATAGCAAACTCAGTTTCCCATTTTAATTGTGCCTTTGGTATGGTATTTTGATTAAGTACCATTTTTAAATATTTCATTTAGTAAATCAGTAAATTGGTCCTTAATAACATCCCAATATATCTTCACCAGGAGACTTGTGAATTTTAAGACTTGTTACAGCTTGCAAAATTTCATTGTATTATATATTTTGTTCTAAAGCTGATTTTTGTTTTCATCTAATGTGCTTTCAATAAGCTGTAGTAGCCAGTTAGCCTTTTCCTCGTCCCAACCTTCGCTTTTAAATAATTTTTCGTAAAATTTGAGATGTTCATCTAAAATAGAATCGATATCAGAATTAAAAGGTTCATCTTCACATTTTATCCTATTCCATAATATACTTTGCCCGTTGGATTTTTCTAATTGAAAAAAAATATCTCGAAGATTATCCCTTCTTTAAATCATTTACATTTAGATCTTATCTTAGCAGCTTCAGCTTTCTTTTCGTAAATTTATTTTATGTTTTATTCAAGTTCAATAGTCTTTGATAATTTGTTATTGACAGTGACAGATTTGAGACGCTCAAGTTCATTTTCCATTGTCATGTTTTTTATCATTTACATTGAATTTGGCGGATATTTTCATACATAATGCCTGTGTATAGTGCTTAGTAACGTCCCCATTTCTTAAATTTTTGTGAAGAACAATTTTTGATTTACGATCTTCCCTGTTCTTAGTGAGAAAAGCGTTTTTGAATTCTTCGCTCTTTATAGTATTTTCCTTCATAACCTGGTCCCCTGTGTATCTCATTCAAACTTATTTTAGCACTTACTAAATCATGGTAACTAAAAGGAACATGAGTAATTTTTACTATGGTAATTTTATTAAAGTCATATGAAACGAGTTGCAAAAAAATTTATTGTTTAGGAAATTATTGAACCAATGCATGAATATATATGCTAGTCAACAAAAGTAACGATACACAAGTTTGAACTCCAATTTGTCATAAAATTTAATAAATAGGAAAAACTATTAAATTATCAAATGAAAAAAAAAATCATTTGCAAAGCAAATGTATATGACTAAAAGAATCTGACCAAATTGGAAAGTGAGAAAATATCGTGTTATTGAACACAGGGGTCAAATTTATTTCGCGGAAAATGATGACAAAAGTCGACACTTAATTTCGAAGATGAGAATTACGTATTCAAATATCGGCAAAGGCATTCAAAATTTTAAGCAGACCATTCTTAAGTTTAAAGTTTTAAGTTCTAATATCGAGTTTTTAATTTTTGGGTTAAAATACGATTTTTGAAATAACAAAAAATTTCAACAACAAAAAATTCGCGTATTTGCTTTAAATCAATGGTTTTGATAAGAAAATAGCACTCTGTAAATATTAAACCAATTGAGCAATTATTTACCTTGGTACGGTGTATCTAATTTCAATTTATATGGAAAATACATTGACTTGTATCGTTTCTTTTGCTGACTAGTATACTAAAGTAAGTCCTGAGTCCTACATGTATATGCACATTTTTTTTACATTTATTACGAATCTATAACGTATAATCGACACATAATATTTTATTCGGTGATAGTTGATCGCAAGCTCATTAACATTCGAGTAGTTGCCGAATTTTACCGGATCTTGACATTCATAAACAATCAACACAGCAGCACGTGGAGCATGTGAAAAAATAAGTGAATCGAAAAAGCTATGTTAATTTATTTTTTCTATACGTTCCTATATGTTTAATAAACATTTCAATAGCTGTTGTTAAATGATTTTGTGTATTTAATTTGTTTTTTAAGAATCAAATATTACTATTTACCTTCCAGTGCACGTTTGTTTAAAATTGAGAATGGAAATGGGAAATATGTCATTATTCTCTCATCACGGGTTTTCCCTCACACTTCCGCTGTGCGGTGGCCGAAGTTCTAAAGAGAGGTCTCGTATTTAAGGTCACTGCATACGGAAAAATATCGACGAATTAGTCCACGGGAAGACAATAATTCAATAGCAATATATTTCTGAAGATTGATAAGATAATGGATTTTCTCTCACAAGAAAGTCCATGTACACTTGTTTTATTATACAACTTAACCATTCCAGTATATAAAACATATTCAACTGTTTTTGTTTAAATTTCAAGTTTCATATGACTTAAAGAAGATCTTTAATACGTTCTTATTCCAAGTGGGGAAATATCGTTCCATACTAAGATTCAATTATAGAATGTTTTAACCAATGTCTGATACCAGAAATACGCATCAGAACCGTTATGTATTTTTAAAACAGTAAATAGAATATTTATGCATTAACAAAATATTTCCTGGGGAAGATAAGGGCGAAAATACAAAATCGTCTAACAAGTGTTATTCATATTTAAGTAGAAGAAAACTAAAACAATAGATAGAAAAAATCACCAACAAGTAACAAGGAACGACATATTCATATCTCATTAACTTTCAATGCATATATTGAAATAGTTGAGACGGTGTATAATTCAATTCAATATTTAAAATGAAAACAGATTAAAGCCATTCGAGAATATCTATCTCATTTCAAATAATTATTTTGAAATAACTGTCAATTTCAGAGCCACAAAAAGCACTTCATATAAACTTTGAAAAGACAATAATTCAGGACGGAAAAAGAGATAAGATAATAGCTGTCGAGTTTCAGGAAGGATCAGAAAAACAATATATGGATTCTAAGATTTGGATGATATCGAATGTCACTTCGAATGTTACAAAACTATGGAAGGAGATCAACAACAGGAGAACAAAAGATTTTTCGCAATATAATCTTACAACTGTTATCTCCCCTTCTAAAGAAACGTTATTTGGTTTACAGCTGCATCTTTATATAAAACAAAGCAACAACGATTATGATATAGGACCATTACGTAAGCATTATTTATATAACAATTAGAACAAGAATTATTTAAACTCTAATCGCTTGGTTCCGGTATTAAAAATAAAGGATTCGACAAATAATTTATATTCAAATAACCGAAGATTTTCGTTAATAAGTAAAATATTTATATATTTTTTTTATTTTGTAAACATCGCTCCTCGATGTTTGATTTATACTAATTTTCAGTTTTTCAAATTAGTTTTAAGAAATACTGGTTGAAAATATTTGTTCAAAAATGCATATTGTTCAGAAAACTAGCTTTGGTATCCTTGAAATTCCGTGTAGCAACACAATATTTACCATACATAAAAAAACTGCATTGTTCTGCAGTCGCTGTCATGGGTCAGTTATTCAACAGTTAAAAATGTTTAAGTAACAGCATCATCTATAGTGATAGAGAATACAAATTTAGACCCAAAAAAAACAACAGTTGTAAGTTGTTAGAAAAATAAATCATTTTAAATCTGCCAAAAATTTTCAAATTCACATGCAACAAAGGGATTCATCTTCAATGGACAAACAAATATCAATGAGAGTTTGCTCTGGATTACAAACTATATGAATAGTCGGTTACACCATAAAGTGCCTTTTTCCCGGTCAACTATGGATCTGCTCAATTTTTTGTTACATGCCCTTCGCCCTTCTACTGCTACTAACCAGGAGTAATTGACCACTAATTAGATATAGGAAGATGTGGTATGAGTGCCAATGAGACAACTCTTCATCCAAGTAACAATTTATAAAAGTAAACCATTATAGGTCAAGGTACGGCCTTCAACACGGAGCATTGGCTCACACCGAACAGCAAGCTATAAAGGGCCCCAAAAAATTACTAGTGTAAAACCATTCAAACGGGAAAACCAACGGTCTAATCTATATAAAAACGAGAAACGAGAAATACGTATGAACTACATAAACAGACGACAGCTACTGTACATCAGATTCCTGACTTAGGACAGGTGCAAACATTTGCAGCGGGATTAAACGTATTAACGGTACCAAACCTTCTCCCTTTTCTGAAACAATAGTATAACATCACAACATAGAAAGACACACTATAAAATATCAATTGGAAGGCTTAACTCAATCAAAAAAGTTTGTTTTTTTATATAAAGAATTTCATGTTTTTAAGGGGTCCTTATTTTTAACCTTATCATTTGGTCTCCGTCTAATATATAACTTTCAAAAAGTATCTCCGTTTTTCTTTATGTATATCATATGTTGTGCAATGCAGTAGTTGTGTCATTGTTTATAGTTGCACTAATGTGTTCACTATTCCCCAAAATATTTGTCCAGTTTATTTTGTTTCTTTTTTTATATATATTTCTAGGTTGGTTTGTTGGAATGGAAATTAAAAGCATTGGGTTTGAATTGATTGTGCAACCTAATGTTGGGAAACAGTTTACTGTCAAAAAGTTTAATCTATTGAAGTCCACGTCTGTATCTTCATATCTAACAAACTCGTGTTGGTACATAATGAACCCCGAAAAGGAATTTCCACTTTTGGGACGCTTATTTCAGCAGAAAGATGTCGATACATGGTTATAATTATAACAAAATCAATATGATACTTTTTTAAAAAATCAATTATATCTGATAACTGAAGAAAAATAAATATTTGAACAATTTTAATTTCATTTTTTTTAATATACCGTTTGTTGAGTTATTTCACTTCAATTGTCTCTGCTTAGATTAAAAAACTATTGTTCGACATGATAAAGACTCGTACAAATTACCCAATTATTTTTCAAAGAAGACAAAAATGATATATGAATACAGCATATCAAAGTCCGACAGTAACGTTAATAAATATACGCAAACAGATTAACATTGGAGTCGAATAAATTGGCATCCCTTATACTCCAAACGAGGTGTATCAAAATAGTAAACTGATACAAGCATATATATTCAAATATATAGTTCCAAACTCCTGCAAGTGTCAATCGCTACTATCAAGATACACAATTCTAGAAAAATTGTATATGTGACAGACCAGCATTTTCCTAGCAAGTCAGGACAACAAAAAGATCAGTCATTTTGGAAAATTATAATGTCAGTAATACAAGAACATTGCCCAATCGAAGTGGAATTTGAGTAAATAATGCATTAACATTTGACCCAGTGATAAAATCGACCATTAGATGTTTGGTTTTCTCTCTCAAAAACATAGCAATTGTAAAGGAGACGCACTGTCATGATAGCTCTTAAAAATTGCTAAATGTTGTCTCAATGTAAGATATCTTTTCCTCAATGAAAGTTGTATCTAGAAAGACAAATGGTTCCTCTGCCTTATTACGAAATGTTCTTTATTGTTGTTCATTATGATACTTTAACAAATCTTCTAACTTATTATCAAGGCAATTTCAAATAAAATACTTAACAGTTCTATAAATATATTATAAGAATGACAGTCGGAACTTTTCAGAAGTTGAAGACAAATACGATTAGCCACATATGCCATACACAAAATAATATGACCAGATACTATCAATGAAAAGTAAATTGATTTACAAATAAGAAGTTAACTTGAAGTTTTGAGAGTTACTTTAGCACGGGTTCATGTTTTTTTTATTTTAATACCTAAGCTATAGATATAACCTAAAACACATATACTAGACCCATATATATTTCGCTCGCTTAATAAAGAAAATGTTTATTACCTTTTAGCCTAAAGATAACCAAGGTTCTTGAATCTGGAGCCATGATATACGTGTGCATGTACATATATACCAACCGGTATATTTTTCGCATATATATACAAAAGTCTAAATTGAAAACAACGTTCAAACCTATGATTGCGTTGGATAAAAACCACAATTTTTATACGTGTGCATGTAAAACAAATTTCTTGGTAGAGGGGTCTAAATACAGCACAAACAACAATTTCCAAAAGACCAAAACAAGTGAAAAAGTCTATTTTAACAAAACGCATTTGACTAACAGGTCGAACAACTGATGTTCTTAAGCCCTGCTGACTGCCATTGGCGATTGCCAAATAAATTGATCACCAGATCTAACAAAATGGATCTTAATATTAATTTAATGCCAAACAGAAAACAATAAACTTGTGGAAAAGATGGTATGCCACAAACATGAGGTGCAAACATTTGTACACCATATCCGGATTTCGACAATTAATGTCTCTTCAGTGATGTTAGGGATCGAAACGGTATTTGGAAGGCCATATAATTTACCTCAATTTGGGATAGACTCTTTAATTTTAAAGAGTCGAAATAGGATGAACGGATCATATAAACCCGAAGGAAAATATAATACAAGCCCAAACGATTAATATGTATATATGGCAGTAGACTCAAATGTAAAAGGTGTAACATAACACATTTTCTTGATTATTCTATAAATATAAAAAGGAAGATGTGGTATGATCGCCAAAGAGACAACTCTCCACAAGAGACCACACGACGCAGAATTTAACAGCTATAGGTCACCGTACGGCCTTCAAAAACACTGGTTAACATGTTTATTACAAGTATATTAAAACAATGATGTTATACGATTTCACATACAAAATTAAGATCCGTTTCGCAATTTCTATCGTTCCATAAGTATCCGTAATCGGTCTCCATAGCAGCGCAGTTTTCAATGCCAAACTTATTACTTGGTTCCCATCGCGCTGTATTCCAGAATGTTGTTGTAATGAGAGATCCATCCGAATATTTCCAGACACCTTCTTGTTCGAGATCATCCCCGTCAATCCAAAATCCGACGAACCCTGCAATAGAATTAACCAACCATTTTTTTCGGAAAATGCATGTACCAAGTCAGGAATATGCTAGTTTTCCATTTGTTCCGTTAGTTGATAAAGTCTAACGTTTGATTTTGTCAATTTTTATGGATTTCCCCCTTTTTGAATTGTCCTTGGAGGTCGGTATTTTTTTCATTACCTTTTTTTTATTAGTATTTGTTCATTGTCAACATGTGTTGAAGAGCGTTGTTATAGAATGACTTTATTGGCATGTCTGTTCATCTGTGTGTCCGACATTTTTTACTATTTTATTTTTAAATGATTACTGAAGACCTACTGGAAACTGTTTTAAATATATGTGTTCCTTATGAAGATAGATCTAGAAAAAGCGCTTAGGATTCACCATATATTAATTAAGAATTATCGTCATACCATGACCTTCGTAAACTTTTAGGAATCAGGAATTATATATTACCTTAGTTGTATTTGGCAAAACTTTTCGGATTTTTTGGTCCTCAAGGCTCTTCAACTTCGTACTTTATTTTGCCTTTTTATCTCCTTTGATTCGAGCGTCACCGATGAGTCTTTTGTAGACAAAACGCGTGTCTGGCGTACAAAATTTTAGTCCTGGTATCTATGATGAGTTTATTTATAACTTTCCTCTTAGAACGCACCACAGTAATAAAGCGTTTTCTTCATACCATGACCTCAGTACTTAATCTTTTTAAACCTTCAGCTTAGGACGCACTACATTAATAAAGAGTTATCTTCATACCATGAGTTAAGTTATCTTAAAAACTCCCCGCTTAGGACGCACCACATTGATTTAAAGTTATCTGCATACCATGACTTTAGTTATCTTTTAAAACTTTCCCTTGTAAGTACTGTCGAAACATATCATCGGTTCCGTTAAAAATGTTCACTCAGTTGATAAGAAATTAATTGAGCTTGACATTTGTTATCTTTAATGTCGATATTTTCACTTCTCAAGTACTTCTGTCCTAACCGAAAATACAGTACGAGTTTCTGAATTCTATAGTGAAATTTTTGTTTTGTTGAAGATACGTATTCAACATGTCTACTGAAAATACTACTGGATGAAAGTGGCGTTAAACACCAACAAACAAACTGTTTAATGGGCAATTGGTGATCCATTGGAAAACAAAACTTTGTATTTACCCACTATTGCCTTTTTGGAGTGGCAAATGCGCCCTTCTCCATTTCAATCGAGATTTTAGACTCGGTCATTTTATAAATAACTTATTCGCATACTAAAAATGCATGAAACATTTGGACAAGATTCCAATTAGGCGCATCTTTGACCAATTTGTCTGGCTTAATATTCTTTATTGTAGGGATACCTCTTCGTGTAAAAAATCTCTATTCTGGTGGAATAAGACTTAGAATACATCTCGTTATGATTTTTTTTTCTTTCATAGCAAATATTCGATTCATCAGTTTCAACGTCTTCCATTTTAAAATGCCAATAGTTAAACTTAAGTTACGCGCATCCGCCTGCCACTAGTGTAGACTAACGTGATACAAGGGTTTGAGCACCGGATTTCATTTACAGAAAAGTTCTTTTGCAGGAAATAACTGTACATAATGTTTTTTAGACTTGTCATTTTAGTATATATTGACCAGCCTTTACTTGCTAAAGTTAGGTGTTCTTTAACTATTGGAGGAGGATAAAGAGGAAAGATGAAGCATACATGTATAGCTTGATTCTTGTAGCGTTAAAGGCCTATGTTGACTTCTAGATTTCTTGACGTAAAAATTTGAATACATAAACTTTTGTCAAAGAGATATTAATTTTGAGGCTTGAAATATACTTACCGTCGTTCAATGATAAAATCGCAATTTTCAAATGATTCTGTTTGTCACCAGTATCAATTCGTGCTAGTCTACCTCCCTCTGTTTTACTGCACGTTTGTTTTGATTCACTGTGGTTTCTATTTGCATTTTCGTATATTTGAAAACAAAACTGCAGCTCATCGACCCAGATAAAGCCCGCCATTTCACATCTGTTCGCTAAGAAAGAAGGTTACTTTATTTGTTTTATTATTTTACCTAATTGATTATTTCAAATAAAAGTCATAAAGAGCATTTAAAGCATTTTTGAAGAAAGTTCCAGGCCGGACAATTTAGGTAAATATTCATAGCACCAATAGATATAAAAAAGAAGATGTGGTACATGTATGATTGCCAATGAGACAACTCTCCACAAGAGACCAAATGACACAGAAATTAACAACTATAGGTCACCGTACGGCCTACAACAATGAGCAAAGCCCATACCGCACAGTCAGCTATAAAAGGCCCCGAAATAACAATGTAAAACAATTCAAACGAGAAAACTAACGGCCTAATTTATGTACAAAAAATGAACGAAAAACAAATATGTAACACATAGACAAACGACAACCACTGAATTACAGGCTCCTGACTTGGGACAGCCCGATACATATAGAATGTGGCGGGGTTAAACATGTTAGCGGGATCCCAACCCTCCCCCTTACCTGGGACAGTGGTGTAACAGTACAACATAAGGACGAACTATAAAAATCAGTTGAAAGAGGCTTAACTCATCAGATGGATAAAAATACAAATACTACAAATACAAGTGGACGTGGTCGGGGACTTGTACATCCAAACAACAAAAAGACACTAAGTACAGATCTGAGAGTACTCGCAGTTACTGACGGCTAGTTCAAAGCCACTAGCAACTAATAAAAAAAATTATGCATCTAAGACTAAATTATCAATCCTTACACATCCAACATCCAATGGATTTAGTGTAAAGACGTCATGAACAGTCGGAGAAAAACATGACCTTGTGCAATGCCAAGATACAGGTATCGACTGATTGTTGATCCATGAATGTGTATAGGTATATAACAATACTATTTAGTTGAAATTGATTATA